TACTATTTTTATCTATCTCAAAATAATAGTCTCATTTTCATAAATAATCATATCACTGTAAAACTATCTTTACTTTTTTCATTATTATTACACATTTATTACTGTTTTTTACACTAATACATTAACAAAGGTAAAAAAGTCTTTTATATATATCTTTTATCTACTACCAATATAATACTCCATCCGTCCACACACAAAGTAAACATTTACTTTTGGCGCGTTGTTTAAAAAATAATAATATTTTAATTATAGTGAGTAGTTAAAAGTAGTGTAATGACATTTTTGCCCTTACTTTTTGGTGTAAAAGTAATGATGTGATGTAAAGTAAGTGTATTTGTGGAAAAAAAAAAGTAAGGTATTTAATAAAATATTTACTTTGTAATTGGACATCCCAAAATAGAAATATGTATACTTTCTAGTTGGACGGAAGGAATATTAATATTCCTTAAATTTTGTGTCTACAACTCAGACTATAATTTTGGGACGGATAGAGCATTACACTTTCGTTCCAATTTTTTTTTTTAAAAAAAATACTTATACATATATTTATATACCATTCTATTTACTCTATATAAATTTTATTGTTTATTTTTTATACTTAAATTTTATTATTTATGTGATTATAATATATAGGTGAATAGCCAAGTGTAGCTTTAAAATTTTAGTACATTCTTCATTCACATATATATATATATATATATACTTATTTTGGGTTTGATAAATATAAAGTAGTGATACTTTGAAAAATATATGAGTGAATTAACGATGTAATATAATTTTTTTTAAAAAAATTTGTGTATTTAAATAGCTATGGTATATTTATAAATAAATAAAAATAATGTTGAAGATATAAACAAAAGAGTATGTAAAAATTATTTGTTATAAATAAAAGGTGAATATTTATAGACAAATAAAAAAAGACATAAACTTGGTCACAAAGAGAGTCATATTTTATACGTAGATTGATAGTAAAATCAATATAGATTAATTTCAAATGGATCAAAACAATAAAATTGATAGATGATGAAGTAAGTATATTTTTTTATAAGTCAAAATACAAGTCCCTATAATACCTTGTGTGATTTTATAGAGTGTTTTTTTTTTTTTTTTTTTTTTTTTTTTTCATAGTGATTTTAATGTTGTATTTTGTATGAAAAATAATATTATATTTTTATAAAAAATTGCAATAGTTACAATATTCGATTAGTAGGATAAAAATATATTATTTTGTTTATAAATATTACATTAAAATTCATAATAAAAAATTAATTTCAAATCAAAATCCAACAAATCCTTTACTTTGAGTTTTTATCTATTCATTTGTTTCTTATTTTTTATTTAAGTGGTACATTAATTTAATATTTTATGAAAAAAAAAAGTATTTTTATTTATTGTTATAAGGGTTTAAAGCTTAAAAAACAAACCAACCTACATAATGGTTATACTCTCAAAAAGACAAAAACCCACTGTGAGATTTTGGACGTGTGTATTTGTCTTTTTATTTCAAATACTAACATACTCTCTCCCTCGGTCTTAATACAATAATTTTATTTATTATTTTTGTCCATCTTAAAACAATAGTTTTATTTTCATAAATAATCTTACATCGTAAAACTACCCCTATGTACTTTTTATTACACAATTGCCACTACTTTTTATACTAATACACTCACAAGTGAAAAAAAAATTTTTATCCATACTTTTTATTCACTACCAATATAATATTAATATTTCTTAAATCTCGTGTCCAACCCAATTAAGACTATTTATGGGACTGAGGGAGTATCACTTACTTAAAGTCGTTTTTAATGAAAATATATTGGGTAGATTTAATTTATTTTTTAATTTCAAATAAAAAACAATATTATTCAACTATAATTTTTTTTTTCAAAAATATTATATAAGCCAAAATTTAAATACTTCATCCGTCCCATAACAACATATTCATTTTTTCATTTTGGTTTGTCCCATAATAAAGTATCTATTTTCTTTTTTAGTAAATGTACTATCTACCTAATATTACAAGTACCCTTACAACTTCCAATATATTATACAAATAACATTACATTTATATCACAATACTAATAAGGTCATTTTAATCATTTTTATTTTATTCATACTATATATCAATATAATACTAATATTTTTAAAGCTCTGTAAAAAAACAAATTGATACATAATTATGGGACGGACGGAGTATAATATTTCATTTCAAATCAATTTCAAACTAAAACCAAACACAACCAGTTTATATTTCCACACACGCATATCAAAATTTTATTTAAACAAAAAAATCAATTTCAAATCACAACCAAACAAATTTATATTATTTTCATTAAAATAAATTTAAATTCAAAATAACTCTCATAAGCCAACCGACCACCCAATTATTTTTTCTTGAGCCCAATTTCTAACTTATGTTATTTTGATTTGGGTATGTTAATAAGATTATGGTCCAAAATAGTCGTCATAAATGGATGACAACACTTGTTTTTTTTTTTTTTTTTTTTTTTTTTTTTTTTTAATATCAAATTTTCTGATAAAATTTTGTAGATTTTTTTATTAAAAACAATTAAAATAATTATTAAAAAAATTAAATCAAATTTAAAAATATACATATAGCAAACTGATCCGACTAGTTTTTGTTATGGATCATATTATTAGTCTTGCAAAAAGGTGCAAATAAAGCTACCACAATTTTTTTTTTTTTTCGGTATATATTTTATTTCCATAAAAAAGTTTTATTTGGGCTTTTGAATTAAATTGGGTTAACATAAAATATATTTTTAAAAAATATGGCGCTGTGGGAGTCTTAAATAAATCTTCATTGTTTGAAATTAAAATTAAAATTATTATTATTATCATCATTATTATTATTTTAAAAAAAAAATGAATCAAGCATAAAGGTTTTTATTTGAAGTATCATATAAAAATTTATTTTTTATTTAATATATTGCATAAAATTTGTCTTGATATAAGAAAAAAAATAAAAAATACCATGGATAAATAGTAAAAATGGGAAGTAGAAAATACTATCAAACTCAAAATCCCTAAAGTGTGTTTAGATATATTTCCTTATATTTGTTTTGTATTTGTATTTTAGTTTATAAATAAATAATTATTAGATACCCCAATATTTTGTATAAAAATATTGATATATTCTTATATAAACCAGACTATTACATTTAAAAAAAAATCAAATCAAATTAAATTAAATACAAAACTTTTTATTACTTTCAAAACAACTCAATATATATATACATTTATATGTATAAAATTCAAATGAAAAAAAAAAAAAAAAGAAGAAGTGATTATCTATCAATACTGAAGCTAATAAACCACCAAAATAACAATGCTATAAACATATAAAATATATTTATATTAATAAAATGCGTCAATTTTAACTAATAATTCTTTTTGTCAATCAAAATAATTACAACAAAATTTAACTAATTCATGCAATATATATATATATATATATATAAACAAAGAGAGCTTTTAATTATCTTTCTTTATCAATAAACAATAGTTATTTATATAAATTTAGATCTTCACAAAAAACTTAATACATATATAAAAAAAATAGAAAATCCAAACTTACATTTGATTTGCGATTCAAAACAAATATAAAACATTCAAGACTTCGCATCAGAAAATTACTCACCATAAAAAAATTGATCGGAAAAGAATATATGCATAATTAATGCATATATATATATATTTTTTCACGACGCATAATCGCACATTCCAAATGTACAATTCCCGATTCCGCCACACGAATTATGACAAGCCCCACAGTGCCTCCCGTCGCCGTCAAGCGTCACACACTCCCCCTTACAGCATGTGTTTCCAAGACTGCATTTCTTTCCACACGTACCACAATTATTTTCATCGTATTCCAATTCGATACACATGTTATTGCAACAAACAAAATCGCTATTATTACATACTCGATTGTTATCACTACAACTATTGCTGGATCTTCGCCCACTTTGCTCGATTCTTTGCAAAAACCGGCTTACCCGTTCTCGATTTCTTACTGCCTCCGAACCTTTTAGGATAATCAAAATTGTTAGGATTATGAACATGAAGAAGAAGAGATTTCTTCTTACAGTGTTCATTTTCATGAAGAAAAAGAAACATGAAAAAAGTTAATGAATGATATCAAATGTCACTTATAAGTTGTAAACCTAATTTTTATAGTTATAAAATTTGGGAACATTTAATTTAGTTTGTGTGCATTAATTTTCAACCCTAAGTTGTGTGCTAAAAATTCAATTTTGCCTTACTTTCAGGCATTATTAGAATCTCAACCAAATATTGAAATTGTGATAGGGGAGAGAGAGCAAGTTGTGGACCTAATTATTATTATTATTATTATTATTATTACATCTTGAAATTTAGGGTTTGTTTATTTAGCTAAAAATTCAAGTTTATGTATTTTTCGAAAAAAAATATATATATATTTTTTCACAATTATTTCATCGTATATTATTTTAATACCAAATTCAAACCAATTTTTTTCTAAACCAAAATAAACATATTCTAAATGATCAATTTGAAATTGTATAATTAACCAAGTAGTATAATTTTCAATAAAATCACCCTATTGAATTTAATTAACCAACTGTACTAAATTCACTATTTTATAGTATATTTCTAATGGAAAAAAAAAAAGAAAAAAAGAAGTAAAGATACATTTAAGAGTTGCCAAACAATTGCTAGCTAAATGATAAATAAATTGAGGGATTGTTTGGTTTGAACTTTAAATAAAATCATTTTATTAATTAGTCCCTATGTCTTCCAATAAAAAATATTTTGCAAGTATAATAGATACTTTATTATATAATTGACTATTATAAATACCAATAAAATAATTAAAGAAAGGGTTTATTCAGGTCAATTAACAAAAAATAAAATAAAATAATCCATAATTCTGTAGAACCCTAAAGTCGCATTTGATTTTAAAAATACGACTTTAGTTGATAGGGTATCAGTTCAGTCAGCTTCAGTTTCCATTTCCCGCCACACTTGTGAACCTCGCCGGCGAGGGTACAGTACAGTCAATTGCTCTTCCTGCATCTCTTCAGTGACGGCGGCGAAGAAGAAGAACAAAGAAGGAGAGAGATGTTGTGGGTGGATAAATACCGTCCCAAAGCCCTAGACAAGGTCATAGTGCACCAAGAAATCGCTCAAAATCTCAAAAAACTGGTGAGTTTTGCAACGGGTTGATACCACACGATCTTTTATGTGTCGGCGAGGAAGTTTTGGGGATTTTGTTTTTTCTGATATATATGTTTTGTTTGATTGCAGGTGACGGAGCAGGATTGTCCTCATTTGCTGTTCTACGGGCCGTCTGGATCGGGAAAGAAAACCCTAATTATGGCACTTCTCAGACAGATGTTCGGTCCAAGTGCTGATAAGGTGACATTTGAGTGATTAGTTTGTTTTTCCACTTCGTAGCTGTTGTTCGCGTTCTGTTTTTCTAGTTTTGCTTTCTTAGTTGTAATCTAGAGAGATTCCAATGGTTGAATTTAGGAATTTGCTATTGTGTGATGTTGAATGTCAGAATACGAGAGTAAAAACACACACAGAAGCTGAACCGATCTGTATTCACTTTTGATGGTTGAACTAAGAACATGAAAATAATCTTTGGAGATGTTTGTCCTGTTTTTGAGGAAGTTTTTATGCAATCTATAATAATGGAATGTGAGGTTTATTGGATATGTAGATCGGAATCGAATGCAGGTTGCTGGATTTATTTGTGTTAACAATGGAGGGTTATTCTAATCTGGCTGTTTAAATGTTGTGTTGCAGGTGAAAGTGGAAAACAAGAACTGGAAAATTGATGTGAGTTTCGATCTCCCAGTCTGTTTTATCACATTTGTTTGTTGGCTTCGACTGCACAAACATCCGCATCTTAATCTGATAGTTGAAATTTGTGTTTCCAGGCTGGGACAAGAACAATCGATGTAGAACTCACTACATTGTCAAGCACATACCATGTTGAACTAAGCCCTGGTGATGCGGGATTTCAGGATCGTTATGTTGTTCAAGAGGTAATCAAGGAAATGGCGAAGAACCGGCCTATCGACACTAAAGGGAAGAAAGGTTTCAAAGGTAATTGTGATATTTGTTTCATATCTTCATTGTGGTAATGAAATGAACTTGTTGTATTATACATGTGTTTCATACCTGAACCTAATGGCTATGGTGCTGACTGGGCAAGTTGACATCATGTTGATTTTTTTGGTCATTACATATAAAACAGTAAAACAATACTTGTTTCCATTTGACATAGTAAATAAAAGCATATATAAGTGTGTTCTATTGATATGCTTCTTGTGCTGAAATCAATTGTAATATGTGTTGTGTGTTTTGTTAGTTTATATGCTGCTTTTGTAATATATTCATATAATTCATATGTTGTCTGTGCGGTCTATCCCTATATCATGAGTTATACTTTTATTATGTTAACATAATTCATGTATCATCTGTCTTTATATGGTGTGTTGTCTGTTCCTATGTTTTGTATTGTAAGTTCATATATTGTGTTTGTATTATGTTATTTATCTCAGCATAATAACCACCCCTATATATATATATATGTATATATATTTTTGAAACTGGTTATTGAAATTCTTTGGCGCAAATAGTTGTAACAATGATTGAAGCAAGTGCTCGGGTATTGTTTCCTCAAAGAGGATTGGCAAGGTATTATTTGTTTGACATTTTTGTATGTTGAATTATCAGTTCTTGTGCTAAATGAAGTCGACAAGCTCTCAAGAGAAGCCCAACACTCTCTCCGAAGAACAATGGAGAAGTATAGTTCATCCTGCCGACTCATTCTGTGCTGTAACAGCTCTTCCAAGGTTACTGAAGCTGTTCGCTCTCGGTGTCTAAATATGCGAGTAAATGCACCAAAGGAAGGAGAGGTCGGCAATTTATTTTTGCTCTCAAAATCCATTTACCTTTTACTAGCTGATTATTCTTTATTATTATCATTACTATTATTTCATGATTTTAGTTTTCTCTTGAAGTTCCCCCGCAACTTTTAGACTAAGGAAGTTGAACATCGTTGGTAATATCATGCCTTACAATAAGTACCGTTTTCTTACCAACTAATAAACGAATTAAGGCATTGACTATAAAAACAAGTCAATTGGATTGGATCATGGATATGTTGGTGTATTACAGGTTCAATAAAGCATGACTTTTTCAGTTAATCAACAATGTAGAGAAGTCTTCCATGACACGAACAATTCTCTTCATATGGGTTATGGAAACATTAGCATGTCTTCAAGTTTGATGCTAAAATTGTTGCATTGCAAGTCACCCGGCGTCAAGCTCAAAATGGAAATAGTGTGTGTGTGAGTGTATGCGGTTTTATAGAATTCGAGTTTCACTTGCAGAGCTGTCAAATTTGTTTATGCTTTCTACTGCACTATGATTCATTTGCTCTCTGTTTGTATTAACTAGTCATTTTGTTCCATTGCCAGATTGTCGAGGTGTTGGATTTTATCGCCAAAAAAGAAGGATTGCAACTTCCACCTGGTTTTGCTGATCGCATAGCACAACAGTCTAATCGGAGCCTGAGGAGGGCAATATTGTCATTTGAAACTTGTCGTGTCCAACAGTTGAGTTTTTTATTTTACATTTGCTTATATGCATAAGCCGCAGGAAATTTACTCTCCACTCAGTCGAGTAATGCCGGGCTGCCATGTTTTAGGTACCCTTTTACCGCAAATCAAGCAATACCTCCCATGGATTGGGAGGAATATGTTTCGGAGATAGCATCCAGCATATTTAAGGAGCAGAGCCCGAAACGGTTAGCAACCAATGCAGACTAAAATTTGTTTCTACATTTAATTTTCTTATGATTCGGAGTTTAGGATTGGCATTTATTTGTTTTCAGCTCCTTCCCGAAACCTTTGTTGGTAGTTCATGTCATTTTTCAGAATTGGCATTGCTGTGATGGTAGTTATCCGATCCATTTTTAAACATAATATGCATGTTATATAGGTTGACTGAAGTCCGAGGAAAGCTGTACGAGCTGCTCGTCAATTGCATTCCTCCTGAAATCATTTTAAAGGTTTGTCATTGCGCTGCGCCCTTTTCTTCTAGACTGTATAGTGCAGATTTTGCATATCAACCTGATCAATAATTTTGATTTGATCGCAGAGGTTGCTTTTCGAGTTGTTGAAAAAATTGGATTCTGACCTAAAGCACGAGATCTCTCGTTGGGCCGCATACTATGTAAGTTTCACTACTGTTCTCACTTGCTTTTATCGGTGAAATTGAATCTCAGTTTATAGTATAGAAATGGATGTCGGGGCACAAGATGCGGTATACTCACTGCAACTAAGAAATCGATGTAGCAATGCATGATTAATGAGTTTTCTTTTCACTACAACCTAATTTGCTCGCTTCAATTTTCCTCAGGAGCATAGGTTGTGTCTAGGACAGAAAGCGATTTTCCATCTCGAAGGTATTGCTCAGCATCTTTATGTATCTTACGATGAATGTTTTTATATCGATTAATTTTTGCTGGGTTCGATTCAAACTACCCACAAACCTCCTCCTACGATTTATTGATTGATTCATTCATTCTTGCAGCATTTGTGGCCAAGTTTATGAGCATCTACAAGGGCTTCCTGATCGAGACATTCGGCTGAGGTATGATGATTTTTACCGTTGAAGATGTGCAATTAGTTCATGAAGGTTTGTGTACAAGAAAAGACATGCTTTTAGGTATGTTTGTTTAAACTTGCTTTCCATTTTTTGCTTGAATGGATGCGGTTGGTCTCTTTTAACACAAATCATCGATTTTACGTGTTCGAATAGTCAAACGAGCTGAACTGAACCGAGCTTTGTTAAAGCAGTTTGGGAGGGCCTTTGTGTTTGATTAACTTTATGAATTTTATTAATGGATTTTTGACACTAACCATCAATTTGAAATTAGAGGTGAGATAATTAGTTAAATTTAAGTCGAGATTTTTATGTTTGAGCTTTGTATATGTTTCTTTCGACTGGAGAAAAGGTGAAGAAGATGTTATTGGTGGTTTGGGATTGTCATTTGTTTTGTATGCAAATATTTGGCATTGTTTCGATATTGAATTTTTGTAATTTTTTATTCTATACTTGATTTTTTAATTATTTTTTAAATAAAATTTATAAATTCATTATAGAGAAAGGATAAAGTAGTAAAAAGAATATATCATGGGTTCACAATGGTAAAATTTGTAAGTTTTCTACCTGCATATTTTGTTATGTCTATTTTTATTAAAATAAAAAATTGATCCTTCAGAATTACACTGACAAAAATAATAAAAAAATACTTTGAGTTGAAACTAAACATTCGCGCGCAGACTAAATTGTAATTATAAAAATTTACAAGCATCCAAAATTTCATTTTTATAGGTTTAAAAATAAGTATATCTAGAATATATTTATTTAATTAAATCAATAAGTATGACCAGTAAAACAACAAAACATTTGATCCATAGAAATTATAACTTATTCCGACAGATCAAAGACTTTCAAAAATAAATAGAAAAGTTCACAGCAGATGTTTTTAGCTTAAACAAGAGGAGGGAGGGATGGCTTAATTATGTTGCTACATAATATAACATGCAAAAAAACCATCTCTCCAACCATCTAAATAAATCACAACACTGAAAAATCGGGTTACCGGCGATGCCGAGGCAATCTCAGAACTGGAATTGCATCTCAGAGGTGTATCCGAGGGCGTCCAGATTCGCCGCCATGGCTTTGTTCATCGGTGGTGGTCCGCATCTCAACACCCGAATATCAGATGCCGGTGCCGGGCAATGCTCCTCGATCATTTCCTTGCTCACAAAACCAACGCCGCCACTCCATACTTCCGGGGGCTATACAAAAAACATTAATCGAATTTCAAACTTACATGTCTCCGCCTTCATGAATGGGATTATATGTCATAATAAAAAAACTTTCAACTTAAAAGGAACTAATGCGACTAAAGGCACATATAAATATCCCGATGAGAAGAGGTATGCCAATGAGAAGCAATGAACCAGAATTTCGGAGAAAGAGGTAAAGACAGCAAACTTGCCTGGTTGAGTACATAGTAAATTTTGAACCTTTCGGGGTAGTTTTTCGCGAGACTATCCAATTCATCCTGCAATCGGATAGAGAAAATCGTTTGAGATAATTTGAATCAATAAGCTCGACAAGAAGATAATTGCAATAAAAAATCACAATCTTTTAATATAAAAAGTAACAAAATCTCTATGTAGTTTCACTCTACAACTATTTTCATCGCAAGAAAAATCGGAGTTGAAATGGATTTCAATACAAGAGTAGCATGAGGATATCATATTCGTCACAATCAAATGAATATGTTTTTAAACTATACAAATCAAAAACAAAACTTCTTTCCACCCAAAACATGTCCCTTTTTTTTTTTTTTTTTTTTGGGTATTGAGAGCTGCATAATATAAGGTATTGTTACCTTCAGCAAAATGTCGTCATAGGTAACATTTGCGTATATCAGATGCACCTTTGTCGCATCGTTTGGGTTCTCAAGAATGGCTCTGGTGACCTAAGAAGAAACATAAATAAAGAAATAATAAAAATCAAAAGATACCATATTTATGCTTATTTGAATAAACACCTGGAACATTGGTGTGATTCCGGAACCTCCAGCAAGCATTCCGAATGCTCTCACTTGGCCGGGTTGGTACTTGAAACGACCCTAATTTCAAATTAATTATTACATTAATAGAATTCAGAAGAGAAATGATTTGGTCGTAGACTGTAAAGGAGGCAATGTAATCAATTTAGTACACACCAAAAATTACTAAAAAGATAAAAGAAACAAAATGATCGATAAGTGTGGTTCTTTAAAGAAGATATTGATGCATAACATCAGCAAGCTGAAGATGTAAAATTTCAATAGTATATCAGAAAATTTGGTGGTAAAATTCAACACATTGGACTTTTTTTCAGATATAACCTTTGCTATTTTCATCACATTCATAAACATCTTACTGATGAGATTACGCTATAGTTTCGTTGTGTAAAACTAGCTTCACGTTGCTTATAGACATTACGGACATGGAAGGAATCTAAACTAGAATACAATAAGCAAAAAATGCAACTCAGCAAAGGTGTTATCGACAAATGAAAAAGTACATTTCAAAAGTACCTATTTTTTATTTTTTATATTATATTAAATATAAATTTTACATTCAACACATAATATAAACACCTATTATATCACATTATACAACTATTCAAATTCAAACATTTTACTATTCAGAATTTAAACCCTCAACTAAACACACCCTAAAGATCTATACGGCAAACTTCACAATAATGTCGTCAAAGGAATAATCTATTTTTGCTCTTCCACATCAGAAAAGGGGACCAATGGTTTCCCAAAAGTAATAATCTATTTTTTTCATGGTCCGATATCCAAATAAGGTTAAAACATTTTACCTTTGGCCCTTTCACACCCAAATATTCTCCTTCCCGCATTTCTCTAAAGTGATGAGACATTCTTCCTTGAGGATACATCTATTATCATCACACAAAACGTATATTATAAAACAAAAGAAGCAAATAAAGCAAAAGCAAAAGATACGAAAATGGACAAACTAATTGCCAAAGTAAAGGACTCGCCTTTATAACCAACTCAAAGTATCCGATATCAGAATCCAATGTAGTTGGAGTGTACGGTTTGATGACCTCCTCACCATTTTTATCTTTACCCCTGCAACAAAAGACCATATAATTCCAAGGTATTAATTAAACTACGTAGTTCCAAAATTGTGTATTAAAATGGTAAGCCATCGAAACTAGTAGAGTGCTGTTTACAGGTGTTTTCGAATAATTTTTGGCACTATTAATAACAATACATCTTTCAAACAAACATTACGTCACATAATTATTCTTTTGCTATTTCCAAAACTATCAAAAACTCTAGAACACTTCCATAACATATCTAATCACAAAAGCGAATGCATAAAATCGACCTACAGCTTATGTGTTGTCGAAAAATTAAACTAGATAGTTCCAAAAGTTATGTATCGAAATGCTAAGCCGACGAAACCAGTAGCTCTGTTTACTGTGTTTTCAGATCACTTTCAACACTATTTATAACAGCACATTTTTCAAACAAGCATTACGCCAATTACTTTTTTTTTTTTCAACTTTTACTATTCCCAAAACTATCAAAAACTCCAAATCGCTTTCAAAACATATCTAAACACAAACTAAAAGCTGTGATACCGAATGCATAAAACCAACCTGCAGCTAATGTGTTGTCCGATGGGAAGTCCCAACACAGAAGTAGGGGTTGGAAGAGCAAATCTGAACTTGGCTACATTGTGGCTGATTTGAGTTTTCTTGACGAGTTTGAATTCCTTGAAATTCTCGGGATCCAAGCATACTATTATCAAGCATATATTTTCTATGTCAATCACAAGAAGTAGAACCAGAAAAAAAATCTAATCTGTGTGGCCAAATGAAAACCAGAAAAAAAGTTCGAATCATCAATGAAGAAGCTTCAAATTCATAAAACCGTAGATCTCTGAATAAATATTGAATCATTAGGCTAAGTGAATCGAAATAAATTGGGGATTAGGGCTTATCTTCTTTAACGTAACAGATCAAAGGATACCAACAATCAAACCTTTGGGCTTCTTCGAGGAAAACGCGAAGTAGGCAACTCCGACGGCGACAAGCGCAACCGCAACGCCGACGGCCAATTGACCTTCAGATGTGGCGAGGAAATCCATACCCCGACGAATCAAATCAAAGCCCTGTATATTCACAAAAGAACAAACAAAATATCCAATCAAAATCCCCAATTCGAAGCCAATCAATATATAACCACCCCACCCTCAAAACCTAGGGAAAATCGTATTCGGCGGCTCAGCTCAGATGCCAAAGATTGGTCTTTTCCAAGCAAGACTGACCAAAAATCAGAATATTGAACAAAAAGACAATAAAATAAAATAAGAAAAGAAAGAGTCAAATGAGGGGCATGGGGTGGGACGAAACAGGTGGGGATGAGAATGGATAATGAAGGAAGATGTAGTAGTAGGTGAAGAAATGTGGTATGGTATGATGAATTTAGAAATCTCACCTAACAGATCGACAACCAAACCAAATCAGAGGTGGAGTGGAGAGATAGCAATGCTCCCTGCTGTTCTTGTTCTGTACGTACGCCCCTGGTTTTCGACTTCATAAAACCTCGTGCACCATGCTGCGTACCTCAATTATATTATTATTATTTTATTGGGTTTGTTGTTTTTGTTCATGGTTTTTTTTTTTTTTTAAAGAAAATTGAATTTAAATTTTATTTTTCTTTGAATTTTAAAGTCACTTTGAATTTATGTATTTAAATTTGGACTGAATTTAGAGAATTTTAAATTGTACTGAATGATATATATATATTTTATTAAATTATAATTATTATAAAAAAAATATATTTATATTAAATTATAATTATATTATTGTCTGTCACCCGAACTGGTTTCAGCCTAGATTTGAGTTGGATTACAGCACAACAAACAGTGTTTCAGTAATTCAACTCAAAAGTGAACGGAAATATACACTTTTTAGATTTATATTTATATTATGATAATATAAAAATAATATTTTATATTAAATATTAAATATTAAATATTAAAAATAAAAATATATGTTAAAAAATTTCAGTTATAAAAATAATATTTTATATTAAATATTAAATATTAAAAATAAAATATATCTTGAAAATTTTCAGTGAACAGACTCATCCTATTCGTTTATTTTTTATGTTTATATATATATATATATATTTTATTGTTTTTATCCCTATTTATTTGTAGACCACTCGTTCCGTTATCCATACTAATATTTATTAAATTATACAAGAAAAAGTACAAAGATTTTGTTTATATATATATATATATTTTATTGTTTTTATCCCTATTTATTTGTTGACCACTCGTTCCGTTCCTTTATCCAAATTTGATACTAATATTTTATAAATTATTAAAGAAAAAATACAAAGAAGAAATCTGTACAAACAAAAGAACCTATACTTCCCTTTTGTTCCACATAGTGTTTTTATACCATTAGATACAAAATTTTAAAAATAACATAATTAATAAATAATAAAAAAAATATTAATAAAAATAATTATAAATTAAAATTAATATAATTAATTAACTAATTAAGATTTTAAAATATTATTTTAGTATTTATATTCAAGTTGACTGGATAGCTCGTGGAGTGGGTATAGACACACTGTCATAAGTGTGGAATTAATACTAATTATATATATAGCCATCGTATAATATTTTATGTAAAAATATACATTTAATGTAATATTAAAAATTAAATTATTGTAGATAAATAATATCTTAAGTTCCAAAGTTGTCTGGAGTTAATATATATATATTAATCAAGATCATTTACCGATTATTTAATATTTAGTTAATAATTTAATAAAAATTTTGAATGGTCAATATTAGTGATCTTCATTGTTTTATTAAGTATTCTAGGGTGTGTTCGTTTGACGGACTTGGACAAAATCTCACTATTTATCCAAATTTTTTTCCCCAAAAACATCATATCAAACACCTATTTTTTATTTTTTATATTTTTGCTTCGTTTGTAAATAACAATGAATGTTCAAATTCACTTTAAAAATAAAATTTCTGAGCTTGTGTGCCTCTGTTGCATGAAAGTAAGTAAATCCTTAAGCGTACATGTTATAATTAGACTATGCTTGTACAGTACAGCCACTCTTCGAATTTTTGGCTATATTAATCAAATTTTTTCTAATTACTTGAAAGTAAACCTTTCATATAGGATGTGTTTGTTTGGAGGATTTTCCTCCAAATACACTATTCATTCAATTTTGTTTTTCAAAAACATCAAATCAAATATCTATTTTTTTTATTTTTTTATATTATAGTAAAAAATATTTATATCACATCGTACAACTATTCAAATTCAAAATTTTTACTATTCAAATCTCACCTCAAAATCCAAACCTCCCAAACAATATTAAAAAAAAAAAAGAAAAAAAGTAAAATGAATATGTAGTACTGCCTCCATCCTATAAATTTAGAATATTTTATTTTAGCACTGATATTAAAAAAATTTTAAAAAATAATATAATAAAAGGAATGACATTTGATGTAAATAAATATTGAATGAAATATAATAGTTAAATCTTAAATTTATTGACTTTATCAAAATTAATAATAAAGTAAATTTAAAGGAAAAACTAAAAATAAAAATAAAAATAAATTTTGCAGGAGTATTGATTTTTCTAAATAGGAAAAGCTATTTATTATTGCAGCAACTTGCATGTGTTAGTGAGTGGTCCCTGTGCAGAATGAGGCTACCAAATTTTCAGGCCAACTATCATTATGAAGAGGAGATCTTAGTCTCATACATGCAATATTATTGTCTTTTACCTAATTTCATGAGGTCTTTTCGTCACCTATATTTTTAGACTATTAGAAAATTATTATTATTATTATTGATTTCTCAAAGTGAATCAGATCAGCTATTTTATTGTGGAATGTAACAGTGACCAATATAAGCACTTACAGAGGGAGAGTATATGCCATGAGGCTGGCAATGGAGAATCTGCAGAGGGAGATCAAAGTGAGAGACAAGTGAGAGAAAGATAGATATATATATGTATGTATATAAGAAACCTTCAAATGGGCAGTGATGGATCCAACTGCTGGTGATTGCCTACATGAATGCTGTCAAGTGCTAATTTGGCGAAAAGTTCCCGAGTCGCGACAATGTTTTCGGAAGTAAAGGAATGGACAAGAAAAGTATTTGTACGTATCGCGAAAATTGAAATGGTAAAGAAGGATATCTTCACTTCGAAAACAGGACTATTGAGCATCAGAAGCTTATTGTTGTTCACGATTGCCCGAACCAGTAATTCTTTTGCCTCGTCGTGCTTCTTCCTCAGCATGTTACAAAGCTGTAATAAAATGATGCATAAGTGAAAATGTCGAAAATTCGATGTAGAAGAGAATGGTCCTTACATCATCAAGCTCCTTGCCGTAGGATTCAGCTAGCATAATGTTGCTTACAGTTTCAGTGGCAAATGACATTTGAAATGTAGAGATTTCGCAATGTTCGGCTGCATTTTTTATGGAGCTGTTTTCGTCTTCATTGTGGCTTAGTAACTGTCAACAGGAAAACTATCTGCCATTATATGTCTGTCCACTGTAATATTTTATAGCTCGAGACTCGAATATCTCACCTCGTTGTCATGAATTGTTTCTGGTGTTTTCACTAAAAGTCTGCAGATTACAGAAACAGTCATGCCTGAGGATGAAATCCAGAAATGTAAATAGTTTCATCTTGGCGCATATTAACATATACCTTGGCGAAGGGGAGGGGCGCTTAGATGGAGGCAAGGTATGCGCATCGTTCTTCTGTTGCAAAAAGAAATATCACTGAAAATATGTCATAATCATTTATTTATGCAGAATTTTTAAAGTTAAGACACCATGATATGTATTATTTCTAGTAGAATGGAGAAGTCGAAAATCATTACCTCAGATGATTTTCGCTTTACAGACAGGCAACAAGGTACTTTCTTCGATGATGGTGTTTTCGTTGTTAAAATCGTGTTCTCCCTAATGTTAGATCCTGGTCTGATATTTTTGTGAATAGGGGATTTTGTTGTGTCAAGGTTTAAACTGAAAGAAAAAAGTTTTATCAGTATATATCTCCATGAGGATATACCATAGAATAATTATGAAGATGTAAAATGAACTTACCTTGGGAGTTTAAGTACTCGGAGCTCAGGGGGCTTCTTCGAGTTCTTTCCACTTTCAATCGAAGAATGTTTCTGTTCTTCCGCAGGAGTGCATTTTGTTGCTTGAAATGATGTTAAAGCTGTCGGGTTTCGGCCTTTTTGTACTGCTTCATTGCTGATATCCTTAGTTGAACTAGAAAACCAAACATCAGCGAAGCTAATTAAGTTCACATTCATTAGACCGTATTAGAGCTCAGCAATAGGAATCTCATATAGTTTTCATTCCCTGATAAAATTGAAGATCTCATTAGTCAATCTTTGATTGTGTATGTATACATGTCAACAAAATAAAAGATAAAATGTATGAGACATACCCGAGAGCATCTAGATCTTTTGTAGTCATTTCTCTTTGGTTCACAGAAGATTTCGATTTTTCCGTGTCCTTATTTTGTTTCAAGGAAGATTGATTCCCATCTGGTAACTCATTAGCCTTGACCTCCCTTCATCATATTAAACAGGGCATCGTTGGGAAGGAAAAAATGATCACACATTGCCACTTCAGAATGCGAGGACCCGCTTGATTTTGATATATAAGGATCATCAACTATTCAACGAAGGTCAAGTTAAAAAGAATAACATTAATGCATTTCCTCGTTAGAAATAAGACAAACCTGAGAGACTTTAGATCTTTTGTAGTGATTTCCCTTTGCATCAAAGCAGATTTTGGCTTTGCTATGTCCTTATTTTGTGCTGGGAACGAATCAGGTGGTTGATTCCCATTTTGTAATCCATTAGCTTTGATCTCCCTACAAAATGGTAAACAGTGCATCTATTTCATACACCTTTCCCATTCTTCCATCCACATTTCAATAATTTTAATCACAGAATCATAGCTCTAAATATTCAGTGAAAATTTGAATTATGGACAAAGCTCACCCTAAAGTCTTTAGTCCCTTGTAGTTTTCATGAATCTGCGTCTGGGGAATATCCTTCTTTAAAAGAGCTTTGGAATTATCACGTTGAAGAGGAAGAGAGGCTAGTTTTCTTGCACTTTGGATTCCATCTGACTCCCTGTTTCGAAATAAGTAAAACGATATCAAAGATTGTATACTTGAAAAGTTATTATGAATTACAGGTAGTTAGTTGTACCTTCCTTCAACTGTAGTAGGGTCAGTGGAGTCCATCTTCTGACTACCAGATAACAAAAATACATTCTGGGAACCCATCTTCTTCATAGGGCATTCTAATTTCTTGGACTGAAGAAAAGATCTCAAGCAGGTAACAAGGGGTTCTCTTCTTTTCAATGTTTCCTTCACCAACATTTCTTTTGGTTGACTGCACTTGGCATTGCGATCGAAAAACAAACAACACCAGAACTTCATGTCAGTATGACTTGTGAATTTCTTTACTAACTTGAAGAACAATACAAATAGTACACATAATATATCACCTGACTAGGGACAACTTGAGATTCTTTGCAGCAATTTCCTGGTCTTCGACAGGAGAAGGCAAATCAGTATTTGAATTAACATGACCTGGTTTAATCCCTTCTCTAATTTCAACTGCATTATCATTAACCACAACCTCATTCTTTTCACAACTATTGTTCTCTGCAATACCCACCGCCTGGCAGTGCTGCAAGTTTTCGGGATTTGTTTGGTTCTTGCTGTTGGTTAAACCAATAAGTGACATCCTTTGAGTATCCTGTCCTATATCAGAACCAGTAGCATTGTTACCGATACAGCCAAGCTTTTGCTGTACCCCTGATGAGTTAGATTGCTCCTTGTTGAAGTGATAATCAGATGAATATTCCCGGTTGCCATCATTACCAGAAAAAACTTCAAGATCAACTGGTTTTGAGTTATCCAGTTTTTCAGATTGATTACTTTTTAGTTGTTCCTCTAAAGCAGTTGAGGTCTGCAAAGGACAATTTGTTTTATCAGATGCAACTTCATTGCCTGCAGCTGAATTTACAGAAGTAACAGGATCATCCACTGCCAATCTTGGAGGGAGATTTGGGTTATCAACATCTTTCATTCTTCCAACTAGAAATTCCATGTCAAAATCAACTTCAGTCTCTGGTAAAGATGATTTCTGGGGCACTTTTTCTACAGAATTTGTGTCTCTGATCAGATCCAACTTCATGGATACTTCCTTATCTAGACCCATAGTTCCATCTGGAGAACGCTCTTCATTAACCGTATCCTTTTTAGCTTTTGAACCTACTTTTGTTGAGCTTGAATCAAAATTAAAATTCTCCATCCTAGAATTTTGGTAGATACAAAAACATTCTAAAAGTAAGTTGGGTTAATAATGGAAGGCGTCAATAAAATGCAGCATGCAACACAATAAAGCAAAACAAAACTCAAAAGTATAATAAGCTTCAGAATACTTACTCATCAAAATCAAATGCAAAAGCAAAGCGATTAATTTTTCCTTTATCCTCTCCACTGGATGGCTCATCCAAATTATCCTTGGATTTTCCAGCTTGTTGAAGTGGCGGAGAGATTTCAATATCTAACATGTCTATATTGAAAGAGGATATCTTCCCAAAATCAACATCCAAATTAAAATCCATATCCCTGAAATGTTGGTAGTACTATCAATAGTTATAGACAAGATATAAGACTGCCTACCACCAAATCAATGAATATTACTTCTTGACTACCAGAAACTCACCAAGAGCAGGGATTCAGCATATGTTCATGCAATGCCAATGTTGGCAACATAATGTAGAACTAGTTTTAGCCCTAAGCCCCTTCCCTAACTAACAGTATATTTTGAAAATATCAGATGACATCATGAAATGATTTGTTTAAATAAATCTCACGCTTTGTCAAAATCAAATGGCTTTTTATTGCCCTTAGAAACTTTCGGAAGGTCAAAATCCATTGTGTCATCCTCTGCCACTGACATTGATTTCCAAGAACTGAGAAAATCCTTTTCGATATCCATATCTGCATCATGCATAGAACACCGGAGGGTGTTATACATCTGATAAATCCACAATTTATAGAAAACATACACATGGAGCAGTTTAAAAAATGCACAAAGGTATTTCCGCAGAAACAATGCTATAGTTCCCACCAATTAGAAGTATATCACTCAGGATTTCAGCGCAGCTATATCCAACTTCCCTCCACACGCTTTTCACTAAGTTCATAAGCAATCAAGCATCCAGTTATTTATAACTTTCTATGTACATCATTTCATCGTGACACTACAGACTAAACATTGAAACGCAATACAACTTTAACTTGTTTCCATACAACATAAATAAATAAATGAAAGCTTGAACTAAGCGATTCCTAATCAATGATATATACTTCCAAAAAAAAAATAGAAGAAGAAGCTGAAAATACCTAACAACAAATTTTTCTCCTTCAAATTAGAATCTCTCTTCTCAGATTTCTCCATCTCACTCTACACTGTCTGCTGATCTTCGTTCTGCGAAACTGGAACAGTGATCGGGCTTAATAGTCATAAAAATCATATTTAATTATCTATGGAATTTCCCCTCACTCTTCGAAACGCATACGAGTTTTCTTCGATTGTAAAATAGAAATTATCAAAGATTCGAAAGAATTTTCTTGACCGGAACCTCTAGATGCTTCAGCTGGCCGTCGAAGGAGTGCCAATCAGTCGTGCGAGCGTCTGTATCCGCGGGAGAGCTCAGGCGCCTCTGTTTTGAACTGCTGAGTTAAATAGAGGCAGAAGTGGATGGGCCTTTGAGCCATGATTTAAGCCCAGGCCCGATTCAGGATTCGGTCTCAATTTCAAGGAACAAATTAATTTCCTATTATTTAGAATAAATTAAAATTCCAAAAAAAAAATTCCCAATTAATATATTGCATAAAAATATATATATATATATTAAAACAGAAAAAAACAATACTCCTTCACTCATTTCTTTTGAAATTCTGTAGTAATAGTATTATACTGATTAATAGTTAAATTTTTTTATAATTTTGCATAAAATAATGATATGTTTGAAATTAAAATAAAAATTAAAAGTATTTTATTATTAATGTATAATTATCTTTTAAGAAATAAATAAGTATTATAGTTTTTTTGTCAAGCTGAAACACGTTTAGTAGAAGGCTATGTTTTCTTTGATTTTCTTTTTATTTTATTTATTATGGAAATTTTTTAAAAATAAAAATTCTCTTTATTACACTTTAGATGATTTTTTTTAGGTTTCTACAATTTATCATTTTTTCCCTGCACAAATATGAAATCAAATTCAAGTAAATATACATATCAATATTTTTTTAAAATAAAAATAAAAATATGCCTATTAGTTATAAACGGACTTATATAGCAAAATGCATCTATTAATAATAGACTACAAAATGTCAACTACTTTCACTGACATGCAAAGGCATATACACAAACAAATAAGGCAGGGAGGTTCCTCTGTTTTGACCCGTACCAGAAAGCAATTTCAATAATATCATTTTCAAAGACAACAATAATAATAATAATAATAATAACCAAAAAATTTTAGCTATTGTTACCTTCCCTCTTGAGAGGAGGATCAGTTCTTTCAATGGGAAGATTTCTCCGATGCTGTTGGGAAGTCAGCCTCCTCTCCAGGGGGGTCTTCCTCTTGCTCACAACGAATCGGTTCACGCCCTTCCGCATCGGCATTATCGACGGGAAGTCTTCGTCCGGTATCTCGCTAAGTTCCGAGATGTCTTTTATCTGCGCCACCCGTTTGAACCATCTCTCCGCCTTGGCTTCCTCCGACATGTCCAGAGGGTCGGGTTCCGTCACACCTGATCCCTCCAGGCTCGGTCTGGTCTGACGGCCTTCTTGACTTCCACCAATCTCATCCAAGGGTTGTGAATTGGCTGCGCGCATTTGCTGGCCGCTTTTTTCTGTTGGTGGTGGTGGTGGTGGTTCGGGGCTGTGGGGCGTCTCGGAATCTTTTCTGGCGAAGTATCCGGGCGGGAACGGGACGAAGGGGACGAAATTAGTGTTGCTGACCTGATCCATGGCTGCCTGTCTTTTGTACTTGGGAGAAGACAGTGATCGATTCTCGTTCTTGCTGACCACGAACTGATTTTCTCCCTTGCGCATCGGCATTGCAGGGAAGTTGTCGTCTGCAATTTCTTTTGCCGAATCTTTTGATTCGTGCAGTTCCACCATTTTCTTGAACCATTTCTGCGGCTCTGGCTTTTCAGCTTGCGCTTCTTCGTTGCTTGCTGGATTACTCGGGAACTGAGAATTCTCAACCAGATTAGGAGATTGGTTTGCCGTTGTATTCTCGAGTGATGTTCTGTAATTTGATTCGCCATTATACTCAAAACCTGATCTGACATTCGTGGCATTAAACAAAGGTGCGCCGGGTTTTCTGGAGTCGCATCTTAAGCAAACTGTATTCCTCCCGTAGTTAAAAAAATTGCATCTGCAAAAAGGACGTTACTTGTGTAAGTCATTCTAGGTACTTATGTTTGCGACAGATATCTAAAGCACAAAAATGCTTACTGAGGGCATTCCCACTCCCCACCAGTTAGCTGTTTCTTCGGTCTGGGTCCTTCACATTCGAGGCACTTCATGTTTCTTGCAAAGTTCATAAACTTACATCTATCCAATGAGGGTCGTTGAAAATGATCAAGGCATTACAATAGAGGAATATGTGAAGCAAGAAATCTACAAAACTCATCAATGAACAAAACATTCTCTAGACTAACAAAGTTCGCTCTTCATTCATTTGCGAACAAATATTGAAACCAATGATCACTATCTGTTTCTCTAAGGTCTTGGTTTTGGTCTTGCATAATTCATAATCCTACTCCCCCCAAAACCATTAAAGTAAACACTTATTTTTATTTAGGTTGTTACACAAAAATTCAATTTTCGATTCAAATGTTTATTTAAGGTCTGGTTTTGGTATCGCATTATTCATAATCCCCCTCCAAAAGAAATCATCAAAGTAAACACCTATTTCCATTTCATATGTTATACAACATACTAATTTTTCATTCAAAACATTTCATCGAACACCTATTTCAATTCAAATTTGTACTATTCCCAAACGCTAAACTCAAGTCTAGTCCTTAAAGAAACACACGATTCTCATTTCTGCAGTTCAACGAGTTCTGGTATCTAAATTCAGGTAAAAGTACGTTAATTGCAAAAAATATTATGTGTGTGCACGGTGAGTGGAGAGGAATACGTACTTTGGACATATCCAGTCGCCTCTTTTCATCACAATATTTTGTCCATAGGGGGGTACTGCACCTTGTCCACCTTGAGCCTGATGATGTTGCGAAGTACCCATGTATCCTGCCGAAGCTCCATGACTTATTGCACTCAATTCATGCAGCAAATTCCGAACAGACGAGTCAACAAGTTCTCTACTGTACAGCCCATTTCTTTCGGAAGAAACCGTGGGATTGCTTGCATAGCTCAGTATATATTTCATTAGGTCGACGGTATTCCCTATACTGATTCCCGAAACCTAAAATACAAATATAAACAGCATGATTTCATAGATGCACTTTAGCAAATCCATAGCAAGAGAAAAAAAAAAATAACATTTTTGTGTTGCTGCACATACATTATTTCCGTCGGATTCCACGAAAGATCTCATCCTCCTTGCAGTGTCGAGCGCACTTTTGAACAAAAATGGAGTTCCATTCGATACAACTGCTTCAATGTCCCTCCTTGAAAGCAATCTGATACCATTCATGAACTGAGAACTTTTTACAATCTAATGACGATGGCATCGAATTCAATGTATAACTTCAATAGAGTGTTTGAATTTCATATCCTTTGTATTGCTAAATTTCGATAACCAATCAAACAGAAGAACTTTGATAATAGCAAACAGACTACTTAGGTTAGGATACCACGAGAAAAATCTCTGCAAGTGAAATACAATATGAAAGTTGAAACTCAACAAAGTGGAAAGTAATTTAGGCAGAATCACTCGATATTCAACTTTGCTGCAGCGCCATATACAGAAACAACCAGATTGAGTCACTAATATATATAAACAGAGGTATCAAAGGATGGAGACAACAAACCCGAGAAGATTCGGTCGAGCCCTAGCGAAAGACAAGCAGGAAGCGGCAGCACGGACAAAGTCATCCGGCAATTGCTCATAAACCAGGAAGGCGTCCTCTGGAGGAATCTCAACGACCTCCGGACCATACGAGTCCTGCCTATTCGATACGATTTGTAGAAAATTGCACCACTCCGGCCATGGATGAACAGATTGATGCTGCTTCTGAGCGGCAGAGGATTCGAGTCCGTACGAGTAGTTATTCGGTTGAGAATGAAACGATTTGACGAGTAGAAAACCGCGAGACTTGGCTTTACAATTTGAGGAGAAAGAGAGGGAGCGGATGGAAGAGGAGGAGATAGTGGAGACGCAGACGCGGAAGTGGCGAAGCGATGGGCGGAGCGGCGGAAATGGTACGGCTAGGAGGGTAATTAGGCGCGTTGCGCCGCCCATGGCGGCGGAGGGCGAGGGAGAAAGGTGAGCCTGCCGCTAGAAGATGACGCCCTCGTTCGATTGACAGCGGTGGAATGAACGCGCTACAAGATTTTACACGGGTTTTAGCACTTTCGATTATTCAAACTACGATTTTTAGAGTTGCTAACACGCTTTGTGCTCAAGGATAACGATTTTTCTATCGTTTCTTTTTTTGTTTTATTTTTTTATAAAAGTTAAATTGCATAATACATAGTATTTATATTTTACTATAATTACAATTACATCAAATATCACGTATTTTATACACACCCGCACTCCAATCTGATATCCGGAAAAAATGTTTGCATAATTATATATACATAAGAAGAAATAAATCAAAATACAAAAGTTTATCTAGTTTTGATTTGAAATTAAATTTTTTTATTTAATCTTAATTTAAGTTGTATTTTGATTTAATATTTTATACAAAAATCTGTCAAGTTCTGATTTGAAATTAAATTTTTTTATTTAATTTCAATTTAAGTTATATTTTGATTTAATATTTTATAAAGAATAGTGATAGTTCTATGATTGTCAGACACTTATCAAACTTTTGTTTATTGGGTAAACCTTTCATCGAATTTAATACCTTGTAAATTAGGTTTAACAAAGCAAGTTATATGATAAAAAATTTCACTCCCACGCCGGTCCAATACTTTAAATGAGTAACACCTGTGTTTATATAAAAGTTTTTAAAATTTTTTAAATTTTGAAAAAAAATATATATATAATAAAATATTTATATTTGATGCGATGGTCATAAAAAATGTATATGATGATATTTTTTTAAAATGAATATTGCTAAACAGAGTGTAAATATGTAATATAAACAAATTCATATCACTGGTTATTTTGTACCTACTTCAACATATTTACTGCATCCTTCAATATAACCCTTAAAACAAACAATCATCTCTTCTAATTACCAAATACAAATCATATATACATACACACAGACTCGATACTTACACTACATTCTGTACGGATCATTCACATATATACACTCCGCTACTGTTTTCCACGTTATATATATATATATAACTCGAGAGGTTTCAAAGAGCTGACCTGCGTTGTGACGAGATGATCTTCGTCTCCAATCACGACGTCGACGGCCCGGTCGAAGAGCCCCGGCAAATTTCACCAGCATGAGCCACAGGTACATACACAGCCCGCCGCAATGAGCTGTGGCTGCAGCCATAGCACAGGTAAACAACTGCCCCTATCGCCAGCCATATCGAGACGCGCATCCAAGTAGCAGCGCTGCACGAACAACGCAGCCAAGTTCGCAATATTTCTACGATTAACTACGAAGAAAAAAAAAAACATATTCGGAGGACTTACCCCAAGTTCACTAATAAGTAGAGATTGATCAGAATGCAGGCAGTCGGGAGCAGCGGGACGAACGGGCAAACGAAACCTGAAAAAACAACATGGAGGTAAACGCCGGATTGTATTAATTTTTATTTACTCGAAGCCGTAATTACGTACCTCCCGTGTGCCCAAAGCTGTGTCTTGCATCGTCCTGGTCGATCCAGGCGAGTGACGCTAGACCGGATAACATAAGGATGCCACCGACGCCGCAGAGTGAAAATCGAAGAGGGCTGGTTTAATCAAGATATACGGTTGAGAAATTACGGTTTGTTTGACAAACATCTTTGAACGATAGACGATCGGATATACCTGTAGAGGCTTAAATCCGAAGCTGCCGTCGTTAAAACAAGAGCGCCTATGCACACGACCGTGATTGCCCAGCCGGCGATCCTGCGCCGAATCCCCTCATCGATGAGAACTGCACATCATACGTAAACAAAATAAGCGTCGAGAAAGAACACGATGAGCACTCGAAGATCGGGAAACCTACATTTCAACCGACTGGAAACTTTAGCGATAAGAGGGTCTTTGATCAAAGTGTTTTCGCAAATTACCACAGCCGCACTCTCCTCTGCGTCGATAACACAAGTCGCCGTGTTCTCCAAATCGGCGCCATCTGGGCTGTAGCTGAAGCTACACTGCATCGAAGCTGTATCGACGGTATCCTGCAAAGACGACAGAAGCGGCACCTCGTTGGGTGGAACGTATCTTAAGATCAGAACTGAAACCGCCACCACGGTGAATGCGAGCAGCGTGCCGACGCTAACCTGCAAGCGAATTTTAGCTATTCTGTTATATCCACTGCATCAATCAATATTCAAGAAAGTAAAACATGTTGCGTACCATTCCCGACAACTGCTCAACGTCCATAAAAAACGCCAGAGCTGCTGCGAGTAAACCAGTCACGACGGTGCTGTTGAAAGGGATTTGAGTTCTTTTATCGACAACCGAGAAAAATGACGGCAGCAATCCATCTCTTGCCATCGCCATGAGTATTCGAGGCTATAGGGTGCGCATAAAAGTGAATATTGTGTGTGTTAGGATTAGAAGAATAATATCTTAAAAGCTAAAATTCGAAAAAGGAGAAAGAAAGATTACCTGCGGCAGCATCGAACCAAGCAATGATGAACAAAGAGCAGTACAAGCTCCAACTGCAATTACATACCTGCAATGGCAATACATTAAGATTGGAGAAGATGAATCAATACAGGTAATCATGAGGCAGATTATGAACTTACGATGCCCATTCGACTCCATGGCTAGCAAAGGCGAAAGAGATAGGAGTGTCTGGATCCATTGCATAATAGGGTACTAATCCGACGATAACAGCAGAAACCAACATATATAGCGCGCAACATATGGATAATGAAAGGCCGATGCCTATGGGGAGATCTCGCTGAGGATTTTTCACCTGCAGAAGGTGAAAATTGGGACGCATACGTTCTATTTATTTACGCCATTTTAAGAAACTGAAAGTTTCAAGACGAAATAAAGGGGTACCTCTTCTGAAGTACTAGCAACCCCATCAAAACCTATGTATGCAAAATAGACAGTCGAAGCCCCGGAAAGCATCCCATTCACTCCAAAAGGAAAATATCTAGAAATCGAATAGATTGTTACATTGTTCTATCGTCTTTATCATGAAAACATAATATTACACACACCTGCTCAAGTGAGTAATATAGCAAGAAAAACACTCTTCTTTATTATGAAATTTACACTGCAACGAGAAATTTTGATGAATAGATAATAAGAAATGAAATGCGTGAAAGTAGAAAAGCTAACTGATTGAGCACAATAAATGAAAACTCACCCAGACGAAAGTTTGTAGCCAGGCCATCCAGTCTTGAATCCCAAATATCCGCCAGCTACGATGACGAAGATCATGGCACAAATATTAGCAGCAGTAACAATTCCTTGGACAAATGTACTCTGCAGAAATCGTAGTTTGTGAAGTAGAATGGATCAGATTTGAGGATCTTGAAACTCTTTAATTAAAAGGAGATTCGAAAAACACCTCTTTGATTCCCACGCACAGGAGACCTGTGAATACTAAAACTAGGACAGCCGCACAAGGGTCGACAATACCAACGACAGGGATTGTCTGTCGAGCAAGAAATGAAGGAAGACTACTTGGACCTCCAAAAAGCATGGCCTGAGAGAGGAAAAATCGATGCGAAAACGAGAGAAAACTAAAATCAACTGTTGAACATGATGACAAGATAAAATTAAATGGTGAATTGTCAGATGGAAATTATACTGACCAGATTTGGGGATATGCCACGTGCAACTGCCGAACCTCCTATTGTGTATTCCAAGATCAATCCCCACCCAATCAACCAAGCAACACTGCACGGATGTGTGCAAAACTGATTATCGTGTGCATAACATGGAAAAGCAATGAGTAATGCTGGTTTGCAATGAGTTCGTAATCTTGAAGCCCGGGAATAAAAAATTAACTTATTAGAAGTACATTTGGTCCATGAAATTAAGCAGATAGAAATCAACCTACACATACCCTCCAATGGTAGATATTATTGAGATTCGAAAACAATAAACAATAAGTTTTCTACATGAATACACAAAGATCATTCGATGTCATTTCATTGGAATTTATTTGCTTACACTAAATCTTTTAGACGGGATGCTTTACAATTAGGAATATCCCAAAAACTGCTGTTAACAGAAATTCAATTACTCGGAAGTATAGAATCATAGAATTCCGCCAACAATATTTTTCTGGAGAATTCTACACCATTAAAATCCTTTATTAGTTAATTCATCGTCTCCTGCTAGTCAATTCACCTACTCTTTTTTCTATCCTCTGGAACATAATACATCTATCTCCTAAGATCAATTTCTTCAAATTGTATTACATTTCTCAATAATTGTCTACTGAATTCTCTCCTTCTATCATTTTATTCTCTATTATCATTTCTCCAGTTTTATTGTATTAACTAAATGTTTTAGACAGGATGCTTTACAATTCGGAATACCTCAAAACTGCTGTTAATAGAAAATCAAGTACTCAGAAGTGTAGAATCAAGGCATCCCTTCTCTAATACACAAGTGCTCTTGCAACGAAGAACATTCAATATCATTTCATCGGCAGTTAATTGTTTAGGCTAACTCATTTAGAACTATCATAAAAATCTCAAAACTACGGTTAATAGAAAACCAATAACTAAAAATAGTGTAGAATCGAAAAGTACCCTTCTCCAATGCAAATATAAGAATAGTGATAGGCACTTCCAGCAGAAGGGCAGCGACTCGCCAATTCAGCATAGCAAAAGGCAGAAAGCGCGGAGGCTATTCCAGCAATAAGGAAAGAAAATGTCAAGGCAGGCCCTGAATGCTCCCGTGCAACAGTACCAACAAGAATATATACCCCAGCTCCAATGGTTGAACCAACTCCTAGAAATTCAAACAAAGGTTTAATCATTACCATTATTAAATGATAAAAGCTTTGCAAGGTAGACATACACCACATAAGGCACTGAATGGAATCACGAAAAACAATCTAAAGTCGAACATAAATTTTATGGAAACTTGAAATGCAAATTTGACAAACAAGCAACTGCAGACGAATCTCAAAATCAGAAGACCGTAAGCTACTTTCCAAGTTGAGTGTATACCCGGAATAAGCGTGGTTATAATACCAAATTATAGTTTGCAAAAATTTTCAAAATCTGTTTATTATTAATAATGAAATCAAGAGACTATAAATAGATACGATACATACTCGATAGACTTAAATAAAAACAATTTTGTCTAAAACTAACACAAATGAAAACGAACTATCTACATACTAGAAATTTAATCTAAACTAAGCATTTTCCATTTATGTCGTTCAATATTACACTTATTTACAAAAATGATATAACTACCTATCCACTTACTCGATAGCTCCGAATAAAGTAAATATCTAAATAGTCATCACACCAATCCAATGTTTTACATAAAACTCATAATTTGTTTAATCATCACACTCAAACATACACACAGAAACCATTACTCAATGATATCACAGAAAAATCTACGTTATGGATTAAAATGAAAACAATCGCAATACCATAGAGCAATCTATTGCACAAATTCAAACACTAGAAAACTAAAAACAGCATAAAGTAAAGAGTTATTCGATAAATTGAAAGTTAAAAGGCGTGAGAGGAACAAGCTCATACCTACAGCAATAAGATCTGATATAGTCAAAGCCTTAGCTAACAGATGATGACTTCCCGAAGAAGATGACTTCGTATGTGCAGAATCAACCTGTTTTCTCCTCAAAATCGCACCCAAACCACCATAACCGCACTTTACTCCAACACTACTCCATGCTTCAGGAAGAAACCCCATCAAACTCACCCTCGATCAAGTATTTCCCAAAATTCCCACTCTCCAACCAAATTACCGATAAGTTTCACAAATAAATATTCACAGTTCACACAAGCCGGCAAGGAATTCGCGGAAAATTTACTGAATTCTGATTACCTAACCATATACTCGATTACGGCGGTAAAGCCAGTCGTGACAACGAATACTTAAAAGAATATACCGGCGGCGGCGGTCCAGCCGAATGCCAAATCCCAAAGGCCTGCGGACGACGGAATCTTGAACAGATTCCGGCCTTTGCGGATTACAGATGGCCCCACTCAGTGAAGATTCTCCTGCAAAGTGAAAGACTCGAAGATCTCTGCTCGTTTAAGATAAATATATATAAAATAAATAACAAATAAAAAAATAATAATAAAAAGAATTCTTCTGGTTTTGGCTAGACGAAGGAACCGTCAGCCTTCCGTTAAAACAAGTAATTTTTAAATTTCAAGCCTAAATTTTCATTTTATATTATTATTATTATTATTAACTATGAAATTTTCACTAGTCTTCTAAAAGATATATATATATATATATTTTTTCAACACAAAAAAGTTACCATCTAAATATGAAATACAAATTAATTTCAATCATTATGTTAAAGGAAGAAAAATACAAAATTAAAAAAAAAATGATAAAAATAATCTTATTAAGATGGTATAATATAAAGATAAATGACATAAGTTCAAAATTTCAAGGTATTGAGATCCACCTGTTACACATTATTATACTAGTGTAATTCGTCTTATCATGTTTATTTTGGAGACTATTAATTTCCATCGAAACAAAACAAATATTTAGCTATTATATTTAAATTTTGAATTAATTGACTTATGCAATATAATTTGTTCAACTAAATAAATGGTGTTAATAAATATTTATTATCGTACCAAAAAGTATGTACAACCTTTGCATTTTACTAAATTGCACACACAAATATATAGTAATATATTATATAGAATATGCGCTTGTTTGATTTTAGTTTGAATTAAAAAAAATATATTTGAATTTTAATTTAAATAATATTTTGATTTTATATTTTCATTCCTTTTTTTTCTTAAAGTATAATATCAAATTTTATAAAAATTTATATAAACATATCTAATAGAGTTTATTTAAGTTTGATTTGAATTCGAGTTTTTAGTTTAAATGTTTATTTTAAATATAATATTTTGATATAATATTTTATTCAAAAATATATATTGAAAAATACATAATTTAAACAACATTTTTTTTATTTTGAAATAAATAAAAAAGAAATCCTATGATTTTGATATTATTGTATGAATTCTAACTTTTAATTTTGTTACATTAAATTTAAATAATATATATATATCGGGCTCCATAATGCCACAACTTCGAATTTGAATCACTCACATATTAATATTATATACAAACATTTCTTTAGGAAATATATATATATATATATACAAAAAAATTTCTCATGTAATCATGGCCGAATATTGTCTCGTCAATTTTAAGGTCCACGCTATTTTGTCTTTTCCTCCTCACTTATTATATTGATACTAATAGATAATCTATTATAAAATATTTTTATTTATATTTAAATTTTCCATGTAACATTTATTTCTAATTAAAAATTTGAATCTAAAACAAACTATGAATGAATTTGATTTTAATTTTATTTAATTGATATTTTGTAAATAATAATATATTTTTATTAGAAATATACTACGTCAACGTTTATTTAAAATCATAATCAAACAAATCCAAATTAACTAGAGATTGTGTTTTGGGCAACAAATGCCACAAAATACTTGAGCCTTTTTTATTAGTACTTTTCAACTTTTATTAGCATTATATTCTTTTTTTTTTTTTCAAAAACAAAAAAAAAAACACATTAAACACATACTCCCTCCGTCCAAACCAAAAGTATACAATTACTTTTGAAAAATAATAGTATTTAAATTATAGTGGGTAGGTAAAAATAGTAAAATGACATTTTTATCTTTACTTTTTTGGTATAAAAGTAATGATGTGATGTAAAATAGGAATATTTGTAAAAAAATGGGTATTTAATAAAATGGTTACTTTGTAATTGGACGTCCCAAAATAGAAATATGTATACTTACTAACTGGACGGAGCTAAGTATCTTTTATTTGAAATTTCGCAACTTAATTGTAAAAATATAAAATATCAATTCCTCTTTAATATTCAAATAAGACAAAAAATCATTTCCATATTCAAAGTACTTCCAATTCCAAGTAGATAAAGTAGTATCAAATATCTATTTTCTATCCTAATTGTTAAGTTAATCTCAAACATCAACATCTATTTTTGGCATAGTGCCAAAAATAGATGTTGAGGTTTGAGATTAATTTAACAATATCTCCCTTTTTGGCACATGTGACCACACACACAGAGATAATCTCCCACACAAGCAAATTAATTCATAATTAAAAGACAAGTTAAGGTTAGGTTACAGTCCATCGATCCAAATAAGGCTACATGCAGTTTTTACAAAAACAGAATTAAGGTCCACCAAGGTTCCAGCAACCATAAGTCCAACAACAACAACAGACAGTGGATAACCAAACAACAAGCATTCAAAAACAAAACTTCCCCTTTCTTGGTATCCCCTTCTCTTGGTGGTGCAGCATTCCCCTTCTCTCCTGCATCTCTCCCCCTTGCGTGGACAGATGCCAAAAAAGGTTGGGAAGCTTAGAGAAAGTCAGGGATCTCCTCTTCCTCGTCAGGGCCGGAGGCAAATCTGAGGTGAAGGTGCAGAGCACGAATTATCTTCTTCCGATGTTCTGCTAAGGTGGAACGAATTGAGGCTTGCTCCTGCAGTACTTCTAGGAGCAACCTTCGGGCTTGCAAGAGTTGTCCCGACGGATCAGCTGGAAGGGGTTCTTTAAAGTCGTTGAAGAGTTTCTGCAAATTCGACCTTGGCTTGAAGAAGGTTGTTTGAATTGAGTCTTCCGTGGGATCCGGAAGGATGCCATTCTTCTTCGGTAACAGGGTAATAAGGGCTGGATATGGGAGGTTGGTCTTGTCAAATGACTTTCCACGGACATACTGCATCATCCTCGACAGAATAACAAAACCAAAGTTGATGTCAACACAAAATTTATCAATGCAAAGAAGTAATTTACCTATCTCATATCCAATGTTAGTCCCGTTGCTTGTGGGAAGAACGTTCATTGCACATAAACGAAACAGTCATTGAAATTTCATGGTCAGTTCTGTTGCAGCCAAGCCCGATCGTCCAAAAATCGTCGGATTTCCATGCCGACAGCCGTATTGCAACCTCTCTTCTGGATTCTTGGATCAAGGCAGAAGAAAATACTTATGGATTGTCAGTCGGAAGTTTCAGCAGATTGTTAATCACTTGGGGGCTAAGCTCAATCATTTTTCCTCGCACATACGCTTTATAGAACCAAGGACTTTCCTCATCAAAAACATCTTGTGTGAGATTTGCATAGAACTCTCTGACTAGCTTCGGACAATAACGTTTGAGTGATAATGCCCAGTGTCGCAGACCTTTCATCATCAGGAATGTGAGAAAACCAACGTCTTTATGAAGTGGATCGGTAAAACGAGCCTCTGGTACCAACTTCCGATTGGCCAAAATGTCGTACTCGAACAACTCCGGAGCATCGTCAGAATGTGTTACATCCATCGCTTCTTCAGCCGTGACTAATGGGGGTGTAACTTTCTGCTTGCGAGATTTTGATTTCTTTGGCTTGTGTTTCTTCTTTGAAATCACTTGCTTGCTTCTTTTTCTTGAAGGACCGGGAGAGTCAGCAGACACTTTCCTTTTCTTACTCTGTTTTTCAGTATGGCGTTTTTTCAGTTGGGCAAGATGAGCATCGTCGGAATCATCAGACTTGGTTTCCACTTCAGGTGATGCCGGCGTGACCACAACATTTTCATGTTCCATTCGATCAGAGAAGAGTTTGTCAACAGTTCTATCAATCGTATTGAGACTTTCATCTGAGAGAGAGAAGGATCAGCAGTGGCACCTTCATGTGTAATCGTGGTTTCCTCAAGGTGAATGAGAGGAGCAACCGCTTCGATCATCTGTTTTTCAGATTCCAGGACTTCTTCAGAATGTACTAGGCTTCTTCATCAGCATTACGGGGTTCAGGTTCAACAACCTCTTGTTCCTTTCCCACGTCTTCTTCCTCAGCGCGATCAGTCTCTTGTTCTCCAGAAATCTCATCCTCAGGGCCACCATCTTGCGTTTCTTTGAGGGTTTTTTGAACATCCTTCCCTGCTTCATTTGATTGATCTCCAGAAGATCGATGAGTCACAATGTCAGTAACTGTAACCTGTATATCCACGCTTGCTTCAGCATTATCACTTAAACGTTATTGTCCGAAGCTAGTCAGAGAGTTCTACGCAAATCTCACTTTTTTATGAGGAAAGTCCTTGGTTCTATAGAGCGTATATGCGAGGAAAAATGATTGAGCTTAGCCCCCAAGTGATCAACAATCTGCTGAAACTTCCGACTGACAATCCAGAAGTATTTCCTTCTGCCTTGATCCAAGAATCCAGAAGAGAGGTTGCACTACGGCTATCGACATGGAAATCCGACGATTTTGGACGATCGGGCTTGGCTGCAACAGAACTGACCATGAAATTTCAATGACTGTTTCGTTTCTGTGCAATGAACGTTCTTCCCACAAACAACGAGACTACCATTGGATATGAGATGGGTAAATTACTTCTTTGCATTGACAAATTTTGTGCTGACATCAACTTTGGTTTTGTTATTTTGTCGAGGATGATGCAGTATGCCCGTGGAAAGTCATTTGACAAGACCAACCTTCTATATCTAGCCCTTATTACCATGTTACTGAAGAAGAATGGCATCATTCCGGATCCCACGGAAGACTCAATTCAAACAACCTTCTTCAAGCCAAGGTCGAATTTGCAAAAACTCTTCAACGACTTTAAAGAACCCCTTCCAACTGATCCGTCGGGACAACTTTTGCAAGCCCGAAGGTTGCTCCTAAAAGTACTGCAGGAGCAAGCCTCAATTCGTTCCACCTTAGCAGAACATCAGAAGAAGATAATTCGTGCTATGCACCTTCACCTCAGATTTGCCTCCGGCCCTGACGAGGAGAAGGAGATCCCTGACTTTCTCTAAGCTTCCCAACCTTTTTTGGCATCTGTCCACGCAAGGGGGAGAGATGCAGGAGAGAGGGGGGAATGCTGCACCACCAAGAGAAGGGGATACCAAGAAATGGGGAGTTTTGTTTTTGAATGCCTGTTGTCTGGTTCATTCACGGTCTATTTTTGTTTTTGGACTTCTGGTTGCTGGAACCTTGGTGGACCTTAATTCTGTTTTTGTAAAGGCTGCATGTAGCCTTATTTGGATCGATGGCCTGTAACCTAACCTTAACTTGCCTTTTAATTATGGATTAATTTGCTTGTGTGGGAGATTATCTCATGCATTATGTGTGTGGTCACATATGCCAAAAAAAGGGAGATTATTAAGTTAATCTCAAACCTCAACATCTATTTTTGGCATAGTGACAAAACCACTTTCTGCTTCTGTGGTCGTTGGCTTACAAAAACAACAACTCTGGATTTGCTGGTGGAGTCCAATAAAAAAAGCCCCTTTGTCCCTTCAAGTTTGGTGGCCGCTCAAAGAAAAAATGGACATCTCGAATTTGTCCTTTTGTGATCAGAACTGATTTAATACAACATCATTCCTTGGTTGGATCAAAGGGAATTTATTACATGTCAAATCATGGCTGATGTGTGTGTTTTAACATAGCTTGAAGCTTTGTGGGAAGTTGAGTGAGAAAGTGATTTTGAGAGATTGTGTAGTAAGAGAATTATTGTGTTTATCCTCTCAACCACTTCCCTTCCCACCTCTATGTACTAAGTGAGTGATTTACTTCGTTATTCTGTTGGAGAAGTTCAGTGGTTGAAGGGATATCGGAGTTCCGATCGGGAGAACATTCGAACTCTGAGCAGCCCAACTATGTATTAGTTATTAGTACGCGTTTGTAACAACTTATGCCTGTGGAGGGAATTTCCATGGTAATTAGCTTGTAGTTTGGGTTGAAGGAGGTTTAAGTATTTTGTTCTTAATCAGCACTGATTAATGGACCTCTCCTGGATTGGTATCCCCCGGATGTAGGATGATTTATATCCGAACAAAGTAAACAAATAACTTGTCATTTATTGCTTCGAAATCCTTTCATTTATTTCATTGACAAGTCTGTGTTATAACTGTGATATAACCACGCTTTCGGAGTTGGCCCATTTGGATAAGTATACGAGAATTTATTAGAGTAGCACTTATTTCCATCCCAACACTAATTATCAAATATCTATTTTCTATCCTAACATTTTCCTATTTCAAAACTTACTTAAATTTTCAAACACTTCCAAAAACTTACTTAATATCATTTTAAATACTTTCCTATAACAAAATAATCACAATTTATACCCAACTTTTTACTAAGTCATATATATATATATAGATATATATAAGGCAGCGACTACGGAATGTAAAATTCAATATTTAACTAAAAAGCACATTGTGTGATATCTAGCAACACACAGTATTATTACAGACAACATATTGTATATTAATCACAAACAACACATGTTTTTATTACACATCACATGTGTCGTGTAATAAGAACATGTATTATTTGTATATATTATGAGTGCTGATTTAAAAAAATTAACACTTTCAAATCAGCACCATAATCATTCTCTCGTGTGTATATATATATATCCACCATAATATGTAATTCAATTTCCGATCATATAACATACACAGTTACAGTTAATAATATCTAACACCTTATTCAAAGACGACAAAATTGGCAATAGAAAAATCAAAAAGAAGTAACGAGTCCTATACCCAATTCTTCAGCAAGCTCATCCCACACAGGGAGGAGTGTCATCACCACCAGTATCACCGCCGCAGTCAACGCCGCCTTCCGCCATGTCCCTACCTCCGTCACGTCATTCAGACACGGTTTCTCCGGTGTCCTCTGCATTATCATTATCATTACTACCGATCCATCTACAAACATTCATATTCCTACGAAGTACTAGCAACGGTTACCTGACATATTAGGACATACAAACCCCAGGGGAGCGACAAGGGTCCGCCGAGCTGAAAAATTGATACGACAACAAAATTTAGAATCGGATCACATCGAAAAGAATTTAAGGCTATCGAGAATGGAATTTTCAAAATACAAAGCAACCTAAAACGTCTGTTTCCGTTGTGGGAAAATCTCCTTAGACTGCAATTAGTATCGACTATCGAGAATGGAATTGAAGAAAAATAATTAAATTATTCTTTTTGGTTAAACAAATAATTCAATGGAGAGAAATATAACAGAGAATCAATTATTATTTGTTCGTGCATGTATATACATACAGAAAAAATCACAAATTAATAATCTAAACATACGCTAATCAATAATGAAGAGAAGTATGTCATAAAACCAGATTGCTCGGGGATGTGAAATTTGCCAATTTATTGAAAAAAGGAGGAGAAGAGTACCACGCCTAAGCCGAGCAAGGTGTATGTTGCCAAACCGGAGGCAGTAAGTGCATTTTTTCCGAAAGTTCCCTGACACCAAAGGGTTATGGCCGTTAGACTCGCTACAAATTTCATCTCCTCTATAAAGCAAAAATGAATCTCATATTCAAAAGATTCACGAAGAGGATTTGAGTAGCTATACAGAGCCAAAAATGAGTCGAGAAACAAAATAAAATAAAACAAAACAGTGGACTACCTGCATGGCTCGCCCTCCGTCCAGACATCCAACAGGGAGCATATTAAAAGCTGATGTCGTTAACCCACACCTAAGAGAAAAGAGTCAATGAAGCAATGCTCGCTAAAATAGAATCAATTTAAATTTTTGCTGAGATGAGGTACCAGCCGGCAATCACAAGGGGATGAATAGAAACAGTCGAAGCATGCATAGCCCTGTGCAGCAAAGGAGAAATGAGAGAATAACATGTTTAGGTCTTGTCCAGTTTCGAATATCTATTGAAGAGCAACTTGCAATAGTAATACATGGACTTACGTATAACCTAAGGTGGCTCTGCTGATCAGACCAAGAAGCAACGAGCCCTGAAAAAGTATGCTCGGAACCTGCACCAAATCTCCAGCCACAGTCGGGTTTGAAGAAAGGAGAAGGCCGACGGCGAACATGGAGAACGACAAGGCAGCTCCAGCAAATGGACCAGAGATGGAGATATCTACTTTCGCTTTTCGATCAGGCAGAATAGATTTGAACTACAGAACAAAACAACAAATATGCCCTAAATTCTAACTAGATCAAGACGTAAATGTATCAGAATTGTAAGTGTGAGACAAAACAATAGGGACAGCTTTTCGGAATGTTACTGAAATGTAATGAGAATTGGTAGCACGGCAACACTGCCGAAAAAGCTTTCAACATTTTATGGTGCTTGCATTCGTATTTTCATAAACTAGGGAAATCTCTTTCCTGTTTTCAAGAATAAATGACAAGGAGCTTACGCTATGTTTAGTTATGTTTTCAAACTTGTTTTTGCACTATTTATAAAAAAAAATATTATATATTCGAAACATCATATCCAACACCTATTTATGTCACATCACCATCTATTTCCTATTAAAATTTTTACTATTCTCAAACCAACTGAAAACTACAAAGCACTTTCAAAATATATTTAAGCAACAATTTATAACCTTGTCTTCGCTAATTTAGAGTAAACCTTACTTTTCTTAAAAATCCATAACAGTATGTTTCGCATGAGAGAATGGTAAGAATTTTCTAGGCCCATTTCTGAAAATAAAACTTGACGTCTAGAAGAATGTGTCATGCCCATATGCTTACCTGAGTGATAGCTCCAAAACTCCCGAGAGTGATATTTGGTATAAAATAAGGAATGCTCAGTTTCACTTTCCGAGGAAATGCAGAAAGAAAATGTCCAACTTCCTGAAGGAAAGAAACACGATGTACTTATGTAGCAGTTAAAAATGGAAACAAAAAGACAGATGGCATATTAGAGAGGCCTGATTTATCGTTAGTGACAAAATTTCTGTTCTCCGAGTTGTTTTGCATCAAAAGAAGCATTCTTAGCCATGGAGACCATATAATTCACTTACATGAAATAACTGAACTCCCAATACTCCGTAAGCCAGAGGCAAAGCAGATTCCACAAAGGGAACCAAGAGCTGCATATCGGGTGGTTCGACAGCATTGGGATCTGTAAAATACTTAACAACCTCCGGAGGAAGTCTATTCAACTGAGGCATAAAAACTCATTATGAACATCATCTGTAAAGATGGAGTCGTGAGGAAGATATTTTCTTTTAATTCATTTTGGCAGCCAAAAAGTGTAAGATTCCGACAAATCAGCATACCTGAGATGCTATTCCTAGCTCCACTGATGAACCAATAGTAAGAAGAAACAATATGAAAGCAATCACATACTGCCAAAGCGTTGTCTGACCAGGCTCCGAAACCTCTTTCCGCAGCAAGCCAAAGCTGACACGGGGCCCACCACGAGGGTCTTCTCCTTCAGAATTCGGTTCCTCCACCATGAATAGGTTGTATTTATCTCCCATTATTTCAGTTAGTTGGGATTGAAGTTTCGCGAAAACATCTTCCCTCTTTCCCCGAAGATTGCCAAGAAAGAGAATGCCTTCTCCTAGATCACCAAATGGTTCTTCTCTAGTTACCCAAAAAGTCGAGTAGCCAAAAAGCTTGTCCTTAATAACCTTAACATCAGTAGAATCCACTCTTTCAGGTCCTAGCAATTCCATCAGCTTAAAAGAGTCTACCTGGAAAGTACTGTAAGGAGGTCCAACTGATGAAATCGAAGACGGCTGAGCAATTCAAAAAAATCTGTTACTTGAACATCATACGCCTCAAATTGTATATGAAACAAACTTAAATATAAAGAGCTCATTTGAGTTCAGTAAATGTTCAATGCACCCGAAGAGTGGATAGACACTTGGACAAATACAAGACCTTGTTTGGTATGTAAGCACATAACGCAGAGTCAAGTACAATATTCAATGCCATTAAAGCTCCTGACCCCTCAATAGTATTTCTTTCAATAACTTTTATGTCTTTATCGATAATCTTAAAACAGAGATGATTACTACCAACGGCTAACTTTATCGTATTATACAAATAAAATACAACAATATAGAACCACAGGTCAACTTTTCGTAATTTTACTCCCATAATTTCTCAATGTTTAACAGTGAACTAATATTCTTTCTTATTCGAATATTCCAAATCCCACTTCCTGTCATCAAACCAAGCAAAGCTCAAAGCTCAAGTGAACTGACACGCATTCGATCACAAGACAAGTTAAATTTGGTTTATTCATCATCTTAATCCTTTATGATTCATAACCATGTCCGGCCGAATCTAAAGCACCATTTCACCAGTTAGGTAAAACTGTATGCAAGCTCAGCAAGGTCCCAAACTTAATTAAATGGCTTCACCAAGGTGTTCGACTCACATTCGAGCATTTTGAGCTTGAGAAAATGAGCAAACCTACCAGCTTGCAGATTCCACCTTTATACTAAAGCAGCTAACCTTTAGAGCAGCCATTGCAGCAATAATACAAGCAAACATTCTGCTCAGTTAAACAGTAGTGATAAGAAGAGCGAATTTACAACAAATTCAGTTTATAACATGATATCGGTTTCGAGTCTTCAAAGTTGAAGTTCATAAGGCAATCGCCTATGGTATCACCAATCTAAATCACCTAAATTGATCAAAACGAAGAAGGATTGCGAAATGCACAATTCAGGCATTTCTAGAAGCTGGAATCCCCTACGATAACTTGAAATCCAATAATCGAGAAACGAGCATAAAATTGACAAAAGATGGTAAAATTAATCACCCGAGAAGATACGGAAGGCCGCGAATCGTCGACGCTATCGTTCGATTTCTTCTCCGCCGTAGCCAACGTCGATTTCTCTTTCCCCTCTCTTTCGCCGCCGGTGCTATCTCCGTCCCGATTATTATTACTACTATTCCCATTATAACAAGACCTAATCACCAAATTCCACCGGCCGAAATCCCCTCTCCGCCGGCGCCGCCAGCGCCGCCGCGACAGAAGTCCTCCGCACAGCAGATACTTGACGCGGTCATTCCGCGACATTTCTCTGAAACCGCAACCGTTCGGAGGAGTTAGACTAAAGGTGAAGCTGGATAGGGTTCCCATCTCAATTCAATCCAAGCGTCTTCAGCCCCAACGATGCAACCTGCGTGGTGTAAGTACGTATACGAATATATATATGTATATATACGCGCGTGGTGGTTACGCGATTGAAGATAAACTCGTCGACGACAGCTGAAGATATTTATAAATTATTATAGGATCATTAGGACAATTCGATATGTGAGGTTTCAGTGAGCAAAAGACAAACCCTTTATTTACACAATAATATAATGTCCCTTTTCTAAAATGTTCGTCTCACGTAATTTTATTTTTTAAAAGACTTATTATATTTTTTAATTTTATTTTAAATTTTATAATTTATATTTTTAATTTTTTAATTAAATTATTTAATTATATAATTTATTATTAATAATAGATTTTTAATTATTTATTAATTATATTTTTTTAAAAAAAGTATACCTTTTAAACAGATAAAAATAAATACAGTGTCGGACTCAGTTCGATTTAATAAATTAAATATATTTTAAAGTGCATTAATTAAAAAATATATGTAAAAAGAAAATTATAATTATTGGTTTAATTTTTATTTTACTAATATTAGATCATTGGTTCAATTTCATGTTAAATAGAGAATTAATTATTTTCTATTTTAAAGTATTTAAATCAAAACCAATCAAACCCATAAATACATTTCCATCTCCAATTTTGAAATGTGCAAAGATATTTGATTTTTTCTTAAATTTTTTTATTGATATAATTTCTAACCACGTTTTAATTTTATTTTCCTATTTAAATATTTCGACAATGATAAGGTTGGGCTTGAATTGCAGAATGGGCCCTGTAGTTTGGTTTCAATAATTTATTTTGGTAGGTCCATTTAATATTACAAATTATGGGCCTATGTGACTATTTTGGGCTTAATTATTTTTGTCCACTATTTTAGAATCTTTTTTTCTTATGTTTTTGTAATTTGTTTTCATACTTCCTCAATCTCAAATAGTACACCGTAGACACGGTATTTTAGAAGGGATATAATTAGTAGATAATTAAAAATATATTAGTAAAAATAATTATTTTATAATATAAATAATTATAAATTAAGATTAAGATAACTAATCAGTTTAATTAAAATTAAAAAAAAAATTTAAAAATTTAAAATAAAATTAAAGTATGTAATCATTTTCCAAAAAATGAAAGTGACATAGTATGTAAGATGGACAGAAACGGCAACGTGGACATGGTATCTGAAACGGACAGAGTACTATTTTATTTACCCTTTAAAAAAAAATAAAAAAATAATACTCTTTCCCTATCCTGTATAGCCTTACCTTTTATTTAGAATTGTTCCATTTAAATAGTTCTATAGTATATATATGGTCCCATAATTCCATCTAATTATCAATTTACTATTACTTTTATTTCTATTTACTCAAATATTATTATATATTTTTTAAACAAAATTTTTTTCAAAATGATTTTCAATATATATTGTAATATATATCATATTTTATAATATCACAAAGAATCAATATTCAACATAAAAATATTGTTTATATATTATTTACGTAATTTTCTATATTTCATATAAATATATATATATAACTCAAACTAAGATACCAAACAAACCAACCCTTTATTTTGTTTTCATATATATTTTTTATTAATATTTTCTTTTTCTAAAATTGTACTCCCTCCGTCTCACATACTATATTCACGTTGCCGTTTCTGTCCGTCCCACATACCATGTTACTTTTCTTTTTTGGAAAATAATTACACACTTTAATCTCATTTTAAACTTTTTAATTCTTTTTTTAAAAAAATTAATTAAATTAATTAGTTATTTTAATCTTAATTTATAATTATTTATATTATAAGATAATTATTTTCACTAATACATTCTTAATTATCGACTAATTACCCCTCCTAAAATACCGTGTCTAAAGTGTAGCAGACACGGTACGTGGGACGGAGGTAGTAATTATTTGTAAGATTTTAATTTTGAATTTTGATTTTAAAAAATAAAATTTTGAACTAAAATAATATTTTAACGTAACATGAATATGTATTGATGTGATATTTTAAATATGAAAGTAATTTTAGTGTAATATAATAAATAAAAAGTAAATTTTAAATTTGATGTTTTTTAAAAAAAAAAAAATTGAAATGTAAAATCTTAGGAGTAAACACGTTGTATTTAATATCTATTTTATACAAAATATCATATCAAAATAATTATTTTTAACTAAAAACATTAAAACCAACTCATACTCATATTTTTTTACTCGTATATTTGATTTTGAGAATTATTTAATTTGAAACATCCTTAAATTTTTGAGTTAATAGAATTTTTTTTAGAATATAAAATACCAAAATCACTTAAGAAAATGAGCCCCTACCAAGGGCCAAAATTATCTCAATTAAAAACAAAATTGAATTGGCATATGAATGGAATTAAATAAAAATAACTTTGGGTATGTAGCTTTCACAATTAAATTAGAATTAATATATAGAGACCCTACTTAAGTACTTTGAATATTCATCTTTTTGGAATTAAATAAAAAAAACTTTGATGTGTGTATTTGTATTTTATTTATTTATTTATATTGTATAACCTAGAGTAAAATACTCTCAGCTTTTTGCATGTAGATTATTGAATATTAGTATTATATTGGATTGTAGTAAAAAAGACAAAAATACTTCTATTAGTATGGTGTAATATAAAAATAATGGCATTTGTATAATATATTGTAAGTTGAAATGGTATTTATTATGTTAAGTAGGTACTACAATTACTAAATTAGGAAATGTAACATTGTTTTGGGACGGACAAAAATGAAAAATAGTAATCTTTTAATTGAACGGAAGGAGTATTATTTTTACTAATATTGTGTGTTCTTTTGGAACTTTTTTTTTTTTTTTTTTTTAAATATTAGTTTCTATGATGTTGTATAACATAAAATATACTTCCACCGTCCCTAATAATCTATTCAATTTTTTCATTTTGGTCCGTCTCATAACAAAGTATCCATTTTCTTTTTTAGTAAATTATACCATCTACCTAACATTATAAATATCTTTCCAATTTACAATATATTACACAAATATCATTACCTTTATATCATACAATACTAATATGGGTAATTTAGTTTTTTACCTTTATTTATACTTTATCTCAATATAATACTAATATTTCTATGGGATGAAGGGAATATATTTTTTTTACAAGAAATTGTAATAATTGTTTGATAAAATAATCGAAATTAAATTCTATAAGAAAAAGTTTCAATTTTTTTTCTCCTAGTTTTCTTTTTGGCATGATTTTTTTAGTAGTAAAATTTTTATAATTTTGTTTTCACAAAAAATAAAATAAAATACATATTACATCTAATATTTTTTCATTCATAAAATATCTTATCAATCCAATATTATTTAACAAAAGAAAAGACAAGAAAGAAACAATTTCAAAGAAAGAAAATGATTTGTTCTTCTGATTTATTTATATTTAGTTTGAAAGTTTGATATTTATTTTAAATAATATTTTAATATTATATATTTTTTTTAAAAAAAAAAACATGGACACTTTATTTTGCATTAATCAAAATTTGCCAGTTTGAAAATAATATTTTTTTTTAGAAAAAGAAAATTATAATCCATTTGTCCCAGTATTTATTTCAGTTTTTATAGTAAAATTAAAATAATATTTTTTTATTAATTAATAAAAATATGAATTTTTTTTGACATTTTTATCATTTAATTTGGACTATATTCAATATGTATAAATTAATTGCATGTGTAATAATATTTGTAATTTATATAAAAATTAAAGATAATTCAATATTAGTATGTGAATATTTTTATTATGATATAAAATAAATATTTTTTTAATGAAATAAAAATAATAATAATAAAAGTGATATTTTTAACTGGCACAATAGAGTAATTTATATTGGAGTATATATTTATCTTAGTTACGTGTAATTGTTTTAGATAATACGCAATAATTGCATGAATAATTAAAGTGAAGACTTATAAGATCAAATTATTGTAGCAATAAAAAGTAAAAATAATTTAACATATACGACAAAAAAAAAAATACTTATCATATATTGATGTGATTGTGAGAAAATAATAATAATAATAACATAATAATAACATAGGTGTGATAAGTTCCAAGTGACTATATTAATATTCTATAATAACTAAATATATTTTTATAATAATAAACCATAGGGGTGTGGGGGCCGGCCGGGGGGGTGGGGGGAGGGGTTTATATATGTCACATGCATTGCCGACTTATAGCGACTGTATATGGCTTGAGTGTAAAAATTGAATATGGTGTTCTTTTGGCGTTCTTTTATTGATAATTATTAAGAATTATAAAGATATTTTTTATTAAAAAAATAGTACTTACTTTATTTTTTAGTTAATTTATTTGATAAGTTAATTTATTTGATATTCTTTCTATTATGTAAATGTGTGTTTATTTGGTCATACACAAGTTTTAATAAAAATAAATAATAATGATAATTTTTTTCTTTTATAGTAAAAAAATGTAATAATTTTTTACTTAAAAATGTAACGAGATTATTTTTCAATGACAACCTAATAAAAAAAGTGGGAATAGATTTGAACTACCGAGAGAGTACAATTATTACTACTATTATTATTTGAACATTATTCTTATTATCTCTTCATCCTGTTTTTTTAATAAATAATTCTAATTATTGTTATATTTATATCATATTTTTAATATTTATATATATGTACATATTTTTTAACTCTTAAAAGGTAATTCGAATTGTAAATTGTGAAATGTTATACTCCTTTGTCCCAATGCAATAGTTTTGTTTATTATTTTTATCCGTTTTAAAACAATAGTCTCACTTAAATAATCATATCAAAAAAAAATTTTACCCGTATTTTTTATCCACTACCAATATAATATCAATATTCTTTAAATCTCGTGTCAAATACAACCCAAACTATAATTTTGAGACGGAGGAATTAAAGAAATTTGCTTTCAATTTTTATCCATTCAATACCATAATTTTTAATGAAAACTATACTACTACTGCTTATTGATTTTCTTATAAAAATTAATAATATTATCTCGATCTCATAAAAGGGTGCTATCTTTTATTTATATTTGTTCCAAAATAAATGTGTTATTTATTAATTTAGTATTTGTACTACGTATTTAACACAATAAATATCTTTATAATTTATAATACGTTGTCAAATGTTATTACTTGATTTGATCGGATCAATATATGTTATACATATATTTGTATGATGTTAATTCGGTCAAATTAACATCATGATGAGTTGACAGGATCAGCCACTGATTCATTAATTTATTACTTTTATATTATATAATAATAATAGAAATATTTTTCTATTTACTACAAATTAATATAGTACTAATATTAGAAAAAATTACGTAAAAAAAATTAATGATACTCTTGTTTCAGAGGGAGTAATAATTTCACAAATACTAATAATCAATACAATATAAGGTTTTAAATATAATCAAATACTCCATTCGTCCAATTTCTATTGTCCTAAAATATATTTGCACGGTTTTTTAAGTGATTGTCTTTTTGTTATGATTTGACAAATTTGTCCTTAATTGTATGGTATATATTAAAAGTAATAAATGAATGAAGGGTAAAAATGTAAAATTTGTGTTTAAAAAAAAAATAGGACAATAGTTGTTGGACGTCCCAAATAAGAAAATAGGACATTAGTTTATGAACGGAGAGAGTACTAATTTTAGACCATACTTTAGGATTTATTCTTTTATAATATTAAGGCAAAATAAATATTTTATCCGTCCCCAATTAATTTGTCACTTTAGTTGGGTACAAAAACTTTAGGTATTATATAATTAGAAGTAATTAAGAAGTGTATTAGTAAAAATAATTATTATATAATTAAAATAATTATATATTAAAATCAAGATGTCTAAATAGTTTAATTAAAATAAAAATATATAAATTATGAATTTTAAAATATGATTCAAGTGTATAATTATATTTCAAAAAAAAGAGAACAATTTATGTACAACGAACGGATATAGAAAGAATGGAAAAATTAACTAGGACGGTGAAAGTACTGTTCATCTGACATAATCATCTGTCATATCAAAATATTATTTAAACGAAAATTTAAATTAATATATTTTTAAAATTTTTTATTTATATCTGTTAAGATTATACTTATACCTTAAATACTCACCCCATGATGCAAAAATATGACTATATTTTTAACGAGATTTTTAATATGGATGAATAATAATTTATACTTTTAGTTTTCTATACAAATTTTATATTTTTTAATAAAAATATCTTATTATTATTAATCAAATCTATGTACAAAAAACTATATTGTCATTGTAATGGCAATACTCGAGACTTTCGTGAAACTTAGCTGTCTGAACTTAATTAAAGTCACTGCTGTCATGACACTTTCTTTATTTGGTCTTTTGATGATTTCTCAACTCTTAGTAATATTTTTATTTTCTTATATATAATTTTTTAGAAAAATATATTACGAGTTTGTTTGTTTTGTGTTTTAATTTGAAATATTTTTTTAGTACGAGAGATAAAAAGAAAAGGAAAAAAATTATTGACTTACTAATTTTAATGAGAAAATAGAATATAAAATTATATGTATTGTGATTAGTGTAAAAAAGTAAATTAATTGGATGAAAAAATTCTTTTTTTTTTTTAATAGAATATCACTTAATTAAATTTTAGACATTTTAACAATTAAAGAATGTGTCACTTTACAATTCATAATTAAAATTGCTAATTTATGGGTGATATTTTTCTATATTTATTTATTTTGAAGTATTGAATTAACAAATACTTCCTCTATTCCAATTGGTTCAAAATAGTTTTGTAATAAATTAAAAAAATATTATTCCCTCTGTCCAGATACCATGTCCACGTAGCCGTTTCTGTCCGTCCTACATACTATGTCACTTTCCTTTTTTGGAAAATGATTACACACTTTAATCTCATTTTAAATTTTATTTTTTTTTATTTTAATTAAACTAATTAGTTATCTTAATCTTAATTTATAATTATTTATATTATAAGATAATTATTTTCACTAATATATTCTTAATTATCTACTAATTATACCCCTCCTAAAATATTGTACCTACAGTGTAGCAGACACTGTATTTGGGACGGAGGGGGTAGTATAATTTTGAAAATAAATTATAAGGTTGAAAAAAGGAAAAAAAAATTAAAATATTATATATCTATTTTTGTTTATTATTTGATTATTGTTGATGTTTTTATAGGTACATATCATTACACTAATCACATGATCATAACAGTTAGGTGACTTAGAAACATGTGGGGTTCATAAAATGCAATTCGTGTATTTAATGGAAACATATGTTCTTTTGGACATCAGTCACAAATTTTTTTACTATTTAATTATCTAGAAATTACTTTATTTTTGTACAAAATATTATATTCAAAAAAATTATTTAAATAGATTTTTTCTTTTTAAAAAAAAGTCAATGTTAAAATGAATATATACACCAATTTTTATCTTGCAATTCTATACATTTATACTTCAATTATGTACCTCTATTTTTTTTATAAAATATTTTACTTCCTCCTCCGTCCACAAACAAAGTAAACATTTACTTTTGGCACGGTGTTTAAAAAATAATAGTATTTTAATTATAGTGGGTAGTTAAAAGTAATAAATGACATTTTTGCCCTTCATTTTTTTTTGTGTAAAAGTAATGATGTGATGTAAACTAAGGATATTTGTGAAAAAAAATGAGGTATTTAATGAAATATTTACTTTGTGATTGAAGATTATATTTCATGATTCGCTTATACACAACCTAACTTAACTACAAAATATAAATCAAATTAATACATAATTCTAGATAGTTAGTACTAGTTGATCAGTTATTTCACTTATACACAACTTTCTCATTTATTTAAAATACTATCTAATACTCTTTCGTTTCACATAAAATATCAATTTTTTCTATTTGTCCGTCCCACATAATTTATATTTTTTTGGGAAAATAAGTATACATTTTAATCACATTTTAAAATTTATAATTTATATTTTTTAATTTTTAATTAAACTATTTAATTATTTCAATCTTAATCTATAATTATTTGTATTATATAATAATTACTTTTACTAATATACTTTTTAATTATTCACTAATTATATTTTTCTTAAAATTTCGTATCTACAATATTTGTGAACAATTTTTATGTGACAAATGGGGTATTTAGGTTGTCATTTATTATATAAATATTAGTTGTATCGACCGAACACTAAATATATACATGCATTTAAAGACAATGTTATACATATATATACTATGTTGAACATCGCAAAAAATGAAATAATAAATTTTTATAATTTTTTTTTAAAAAAAAGAAATAGCATAATAAAAAATTCTAGAAAAATCAAAATAAATAGAACCTAAAAAATTTTAGTTATCACGAAAGGACAATTATTACATACAATATGAAAACAAAACAAAACAAAATATATTAGAATTAGAAATTATGGGCGCTTCTATACCTAATTTAATAAATACATATCATCAAATCTAACAATTCTTTCCTTCCTTCTTTTTTTTCTTACATATCCCCGTAATTCTTTTCGAATAAACACCCGACTAAAAGATCGAATCGAGCTCCATATGCCCGGAGTTCTCATCAAGCAACCATTTTTCAAGAAACGACAACGGAGGTGCATTTGTATCAATCTTTATCTTTTCCTCGTGGTCGATTACGCCGCTACTCTCCGAGCCCTTTTGGCTAGAACCCCCACAAGACAATTTATCGAAGCTCCGATGATGATGATGATGGCGATAATGGCGATCAACGGTGGAGATAGCCTCAATTTCTTGATGATGATGATCACTATTCATCTCACTAGTTGTCCACCCTTCATTATCATTACCATCAATCCCCAATTGTGGCCTATAAAATTGAAATATCGAACCCGTCGCCCCGCCGTTGCTACCCTCGCCGGGGGTTTGCCCGAAAAATCGATGAAATCTGTCGCTAGTTCCATTATTACAATCGATCGGGCTTGAAACACTATTCATGTAAGGGAAAGACGAAGATTGTGTCCACCCTTCGAGGAGTCTCGATATGTTCTCCTCACTCGAGGCGTGGTGGACACTTGTCTGGTTCTTGCTCGTATTTTCAATGTCATAAGTTTTCGAGACGATCGGATGATTAATGTTAGAACGCGCCACGTGGGACCCCGCTAAATTATTATCTGATTGGAGCTTCTTGAGCTTTTTCTTTAAGTGAGTGTTCCAGTAGTTCTTGATATCGTTGTCGGTCCTCTGAGGTAGATATGTAGCTATCGCGGCCCATCTGCAATTGTATGAACAAATTCAAACTTTTTTTTTTTTTTTTAAAAAAATTTTTGATAAAGAAATGAATTAGGGATCGAGTGAATGATCGATTACTTGTTGCCTAATAAAGCTTGGAGATGGATTATCATCCCTTCTTCATGAGGGGTGAAGTTTCCTCTTTTGATTCCTGGCCTTAGGTAATTTGTCCACCTTAGTCTACAACTTTTGCTGCATCTCATCAACCCTTAACATATAAGAAAAAAACAAAATTATCGAATTAAATTTGTCCATCTTGTGGAAATTGTGCTTGAAAACCCTAAAAATTGATCGAAGATTTGAGTTTATTATTTTTAAATAATATTTAATTTTATATTTTTAAAAATATATATATTTCATAAAAAAAAATATATACCTTTGAACAAAATTTTCTTGAGAAAAAATATCAAATATATATGTTTATATAAAAAATATATATATATATATTCTCTATTCGAAGTATATATAAAATACCGGTATTAGTCGGGACGGCGCGCCAATTTCCCGGGCCGTGTTCTTGAATGTAAGAAACCAAAATGATGTCTTCCTCAGGAGTCCATGGACCTTTCTTGATTCCAACTTTATCACAGCATGGTGGCCTTCCCATTTCTTCCCCTCTCTCTCTCTCCTGTCTCTCTCTCTATATATCTATATATATATACGTATATATGATGATCAATTGCCCTTTAGACAATGGAAGAAGATTATAGTAATCAATGGAGACCTCCTTCTCTCTGTAAATTGTCTCTCTATATATATATGTAAGTCTAGAGAGAGAGAGGTGGATAGATATAGGGAGAGAGAGCCCAGAAGATCATCTTTTTTATAGGATCACATGGTGAGATATTGCAGCTCTTTAATTTTTATGTTGACCTAAAATGAACTCTGCATGTGGTGTTATTTTTGCAGCCTTCATTATTATTATCATTATGTCCATAATTGTTGGGACATTAATTTTTGCCCTTACGCATTAGGGGATGTACGTTGCGCTGCTTCACTTGTACGCGCCTCCATTAGGGCAACGGACCCCCCCCCCCCCTCCCACCCATCATCCGTTATAGGGACACCCCTTCCGGTCGTCTTTCCTAGTATTCGCACTACCGTTGACCGTACCTGTAAGTTATGGCCGTTAATGGCCGCTGTTGGGCCGTTTTGGGCCGGGTTAGGCCCGATTAGTAATTAGGATCGGGTTAAGCCCAATTGGTCATTTGGGTCGGCCCAATTGGAATCTATAGAACTTCGGGAAAGATTCTTTCAACGCCGTGGCGAGGATTGCTCCGATGGAAGAGAGCGGAGAGGATTCTGGATCGGAAGTCAGGCGTTCTCGCCGTTCGAATTCCGAAGCGAAACAGCGAGAGGATGCTCCAACGGTAGGATTCTTCTGGTTTCGTTTAATTTTGTTGAATGGTTGACTTTCGGAGTGTTTTTGTTTAGGTTACTTCGCGATTCCTGTTTGGAGGATTGTTGTTGTGCAGTAGCTTATCGATATATTTATTTTTCTGAAATTAATAGTTTCTGGAAGTGATCTGCAAGTGTTCCGGGAAGATTAGGCGTTTTTCCGTGGGAACTGAAGCTGGTTTTGCAGTGAATTTGATGAACAAGAAGTTGATTAGTGATGGTGGAATGAATATTTCATTAGCAACTTATATTGAGGCATTTAAAGAAGGGGAAGAACCAATTAGCTTCGGGCCTAGCTCATTGCTCGTGGATTATGGATCTGGTTGGAAGCTGCAAACTGTTGTAGATTCACAGGGTGATGTGATTTCTTTCATCTTTGTTTTCTCGTAATTTTCTTCAAATTTTGAATTTTTGTTCGATTATGCGCATGTATGTGTGATTCCATTACTGATTAACCTGAGATTCTGTTTATCTCAGTCTCAGATCCTAAGCACTTCTTATAGAATTTTCCAATTTTCATTATCAATCTGTGTCTTGAAATTTATGTTTCATTCTGCTTATGTATGAATTCACCATAGCTGATTAACCTGCAATTGTGTGTATATCAGTTTCTGATTGCACTTCGGCTATAACTTTCCAAATTTGATTATCAATTTGTGTGTGTCTCTAAATCATTTTTCCATTTTTGCCTTTTCTCTTGTAGGAAATCGTGAAGCTCACACTAGACAGGTGCAAAAAGAATCTCCTAAGGTATGAAGTTTGCTGTCCTCAATTATCAATGTCCGCTATTTGTGTGAAATGTTGTTATTAGTGAATAATTATTACATAGGTGATGAGATTATCGATCAAAAGTAGGGAAAGCACTTCAAGAATCATGTTAAGCAATTTGATTTGGGTGATTTTATGGAAGCGATAACGACATTGGAAGCATTTTTCTGGTTTTGATTAAGATTGTTCATTGTAGGAATCATGTTAAATATGCACACATATGTTCTTCGCCTTTTCTTTCGCAATTGTAAATATTGAATTCAATGCAAAACTTCTCTTTCTCTTGTGATTGTTTTTCTCTTTTCGAATATGCAGCGTGAAAAGTTAGGTTTACTTGTGTTTTGGCAATTTGGATTTTGAAGTTTTTTAAGAAAATTATAGTTGGATTTGTATAGATTTAGATGTTGAGAATAATTTCTTTTAATGGGGAATAAATAATCTTTTATTATATAGATTATATAGCGCGAAAAGAATATTGAATATCCGAGTGAACAAAGTGTAGACTTCTCCAATTTGTTGCAATAATTACATTCATATACGCTTTATTTATATGTTATATTGGGATTTTACAAAACAACATCTTCTTGGGTGAAATTTGAATTGCAGCTATTTAATATGATAACATATACGTGAATATATGTAATTTTAAATTTGAATTAAATTTTGAACATGTACATAAACAATGAGAGAAGCATTGTTAAAAATGAAGCCTTGAATGCTTTAACATTCGAAATTTTATTGGAACTATCTTTACATATATATTTTATTTATGTATTTTTTTTGTAGGGAACCTATGATTCGAAGTCTAGAGGCTCCGGAAATCAAAATTCTAAGATACAATCGGGTTTCACACTTGTATACATGGGGAAGATATTGCTCGCTTTCCTTTTTATGTTTATATTTGGCGCAATTGTCACGTTGGGATTGGAAAACCTTCCGCACCTCATCTTATACATCAACTCATTGGTATGAATCCTTTGTATCTCATTGTTATTTTCTATGTAACAATATTTTTCACGTATATGTTAACTTTTTTTTTTTTTGTCGATCTTTAGCAAGTAAAGATTTTGATTTCTTCACACTATTTGTCGGAACTATTTGAGCCGTGGTATGTTTAATGTGCTTCAATTTGATCTTGTTAGATTTGTTTGGGGCCGAAATATTTAAGATTATGCTCTTTTTGTGTATATATAATATATATATATATATTGTTATTATGCAATTTTTATGATACAATATTGTCTCTTATGAATATAAATCAAACATACTCTAGTCTAATCGTGTGTATGCTTGTTCTCTTTGATATTAAACTTAATATTAAATTAGAAATAATAATAAAATTAATCAATTGGCCTATTAGCTCAGCTGGTTAGAGCGTCGTGCTAATAACGCGAAGGTCGCAGGTTCGAGACCTGCATGGGCCATAAATTATATTTTACATTTTTGCTATTTGGGCCGGGTCTCTATTGGGTTTATTATTCCTGTCTTTGTTTTCTGGACCGGGCCTCTATGTGGGCCTGTTCGTTATTGTAAAAAATCTAAGTTTTAACAAATAAGATTTATAACATTGAATTTCTTATTTAAGAAAAAAGGATTATTTATATATAATAAACAAGTGATTATACTCATAATTTCTTATGATAATAGAAAAAATGAAAAGAGTACCAATTTATTTTTGCTATTTAAACAACTGTTCCTTAACTAAATTATTTATATATTATTGTTTAAAGGATAATTTGATAGTAAGTTGACTCTCTACATAAGATTGCAATTACTAAAACCACTTTTTTTTTAAAAAAAAAAAAAAAAAAAAAAAAAAAACCTTTAAAATTTAAAATTAATTTCAAAATTTATAAACAAACTTTAAAATATTTAATAATTTATACTCCCTCCGATATTCAAATTTATGCTTACTTTTCTTTTTGAGTATTATCGAAAAATATTTTTACTTTTTTTTAAATAAAAAATTATTTCATTTTTTTTTATATTTTTTACTGTAAAAGAAAAAATTAACAATTATTATTCACTTTTATTAAACTTTGTATTCAGTCAAATGAGCACACGTTTATATATATGAGGGATGGAGTATTTGATAAAATACTCTATGAAATTAATTAACATATTTTTATTAAAATATCCATAGATTGAACAATGTTAAGTTTTATTTGAAATCAAAATATTGTAAAATATTATATCAAACAAACTCTATTTTGAATCAGATTTAATGTAGTGGATACTCTTTCCGTCCCATTTTTATATATATTCATTTCTTTTTGCATGAAATTTTAAAAATATTAGTATTATATTGGGATAAAATAGAAATAAAAGTAAAAAAAAAAGAAAAAGAAAAAGAAAAGACTAAATTAACCCTATTAGTATTGTATGATATAAAAGTAATGACATTTGTGTAATATATTGTAAATTTGAAGGGTATTTATAATACAATTACTAAAACATAAATTGATATTTTATTATAGAACAAACCAAAATGAAAAAATAGATAAATTGTTAAGTGACGAATAAAGTATAATTTTTGCATTTTATAATTAAAAATTTGAAAAAACAAAATTTAATATTTTGTTGAAAATGAAAAATTAAATCTATTCTTCAGTGAAAAACACTATAATACAATATATATATATAATTATTTTATTCGTATAAATTTTTTAATTGAATAATTCTTCATAAATATTATTAAAATAATATAAATATAATAACAAGTGAACATGCTAAATATATATTTTTTAATAGCATGTGAATTCGTACTTAAATCATTGTTCATCTCATGGACTCTTTTTAGGGCGTATTTAAATCATTGTTCGTTTGATTAAGAGATTTGACTAATTGTTTGTATGAAAATATTTGGTAAAACAATTGCTTGATATTATTAGTTATTTATAATTAAGAATATTTCTATTTTATTTTTGTTTCTAAATATATTTAATTAAAAATAATAAATTTTTTATGTATATATTTATTACGTTAGTTATCGATTAGTTCATTATATTTATAATTTTTCAATAAATTTAATTTATTTAATTTATTTTTAGTATAAAATTTATATAATGTAATTTTAATATAAAAATAAAGTATTAATATTTATATTTTTTATTTTATATTAATTTTAATAAATTTATATATTTTACAATTAAAATAATTTTCATATAAAAATTAATTATTTTAAATTTATAAAAGTAAAATTATATTATAATAAAATATTTTAATATAATTAATAAATAATCAAAATATATTTATATGTATAAAATACATAATAAATTTTTAAGGACAACTTTTAAGAAAAAACTATTTCAAAACGTTGGATAAGTTAGTTTTTCAAAAATTACTTTTTGGTCCAAAAAGCTGTTATTTATCGAATACATAATTAGCTTTTTGACTGATCAAATAGATTGCTCTTCAGAAAGCTATTTGCCAAACATCCCCTTATTCTAATTTTTCTACAAACTCAAAACTCTTCGAACTACCAAAATTTGAAAATCTTATCCAAAACACTACCTAAATCTAGGACATATCGAAGAGTTAAAAAATTAAAAATTTTATTAATATTATTATATTAGAAAATGAAAAATTGAAAAATATATGAAAGGGCAAGACCACCAATAATCAGCATTGAAGCATCGTCGCCCTCGTCAGACAGGCAAAGACGAAAAGGAAGAAGGAATTGCCTGACCTGACCTGACCAGACCAGACCACATCATCTGCTTCAATCGATTCATACGCTTTCCCCTTCCACCAATCTTGCCTTCTTCCGTCGCCCCTCGCCGATGAATTTGTAAATCCATCGGCGACGCTCATTTCTGTATTCAATTCAATTGATTGAATTCAATTCGATTTTTCTTTTTTTTTTTTTTACGGTGAGTCCTGAAACTTCCATCTGTGTGTGTGTTTCTGAGGGAATTTTGGGGGTTTCTTGTCAACTGTTTCGAATTGGACGTTTTTTTCTGACGATTTCGGTTGGATGATGTTTAGCTGGAAGGGGAAGCAATGCAGAGCCAGATCGTGTGCAGCGGCTGTCGGAATCTTCTTATGTACCCGAGCGGGGCGTCCAATGTGTGCTGCGCTTTGTGTAATGCCATAACCACAATTACTCCGCCAGGTTTGTTTGTGGATATTTAATTCCAGTTGAATTGGAGAGTTTTAGATGGTGCTTTGTTGCGTTTATGTTGTGAATTTGTGGATGAGTTGGTGATTGATTGCGTGTGCTTCATAGAGGTTTCGTTTGGTTATCTTGTTGGTGTGATTTTGGAATTTGGATTTAGGTTTTGCTCTCCACATAAGTTGTTCGAATTGTATGATGATTGTTGAGGTAAGATGAAAGGAAGACGATGGTGTTGATGCAGTTAAGAACTTTGATGATGGAAATTTGGAAATTGGGAAATTAGGGATTCTGTCTGTAAGAGATTCTTTGAATTGGATTTTGAATGAATTTATGATTGCTATTTTGTTTCGATTCCGGCACAAAACTTGCAAGAAGCAATATGGAATCATCAATTATCCAAAAAGCTACTTAAGCAAGATATGAAGCATATATGTATTTATTATCCCAAAACAGAGTTTATGTAATCTTGAAATGATCACTGCTTTTGTTTTTTTCGATCCGGCTACACGTCAGCAGAATGATCCTTAAAATCGTATATGTTTTCTTTGTTTTATTTGTTGGAGCGTAATCTAGAGGTAGGCCGCCTTTTATGCTTCTTTAAATTGTTATTTTGGCCACGTGTCGTGAGTTTGGATTCGTTAACTTCTTAATGTTGCTTGGCTGGTGATTTACTTGGATCTGAAGTGATGAATATCAACTTTTTCGCTAGTCTTATGCTACATAACCTCGTTCATCCTCAGGAATGGAGATGGCTCAACTTATATGCGGTGGCTGTCGCACCTTGTTGATGTATCCGCGCGGCGCTACAAGTGTACGATGCTCGTGCTGTCACACTGTAAACCTCGCGCCAGGTAATTAGATATATTGCTTAGCGTATTTTGCTTAAAATTGGTTGTCTTCAGAAATTGTGTCTATGATGTTTTGGAAAATTTTGGAAATAATAAAAAGTTGGATATTTGATGAGGTGTTTTGTGAGGAAAAAAGTATTTGATTTGATATATTTTATTTTTTTGAAAAAAAAGGGTATTGTTGATAATTAGGATCAAAAGTTTTGAGAGTGTAAATGTGAAGAGATTGATCATCTTTGGTAATGAAATAGTTACTACCTTTAGCCTCACTAATTTGACCTTCCCGTCTCCCTTTTGGTTTATTTTTGTGTAGAAGCTTCAAGAACCTTCCTGATTGAACTATGTCGCCATTTTCCGTTAATTATTATGATATGGAAGCTTCCATAACTGGTTTTCCTAATGTTGTAATGCTCGTTTTTAAGAATATGAAATCTAAAGTGAACAAATAAGACTATGCAATCATATAGGAAAAACAGCTTAATTGAGTTAATCGTGAACAAAAAAAACAGCTTCACCGAATTAATAAATGGGCTTTGTATTTACACTCTCTAATGACCTTTTTTGTTTGCAGCTGCATAATGCAATCGACGTTTATTGTAAAATCATTTAATTGCTTATCCTTATTTTTTGAAGTAAATGGTCTAAAATTGAATTTGAGGCTGTCATATTCCGGCATTACCTTTACGCCTTTCAGAATATGCTCGTAATGACATTGCAGTTTCTTGAACTCTCGTTTATTAATCATTTCGGGTCCTAATTTATTTGAACGTTGTTCTCTATTGTTAGCATCAAATACTGCTCACATCAACTGCGGAAATTGTCACACCATGCTGATGTACCCTTACGGCGCCCCATCTGTCAAATGTGCCCTTTGCCAGTATGTCACAAATGTGAATGTACGTATATGTATATGTTTATTTTTTACATTAACGTCGCATTTAGGGATTTTGTTTTCCTTTATGTTCATATACAATAATTTGGCGCCTAATTGCGAAACCTAAGAATTTTTTTACCTCAACCATTGTTGGTAATATTCTTGATTTTCTCAGATGGGAAATGTTAGAGTCCCGATTCCTATGAATAGGCCAAATGGACCGGCCACATCAGCATCGACACCTTCAAGCTCAGCAGTAAGTTTCCGAAAATTTACTTTCCTCTGGCTTATTGGCGAAAACGATGTTTCTTATCATTCTTGTTCGATCAATTCAGGCACCACAGACCTCACAAAACCAAACTGTTGTTGTTGAAAATCCGATGTCTGTCGATAAGAGTGGAAAACTGGTAGATCAACACCCCCCCCCCCCCCCGCGCTCCACCCCACCCCACCCCTGTTTATCATCTTCTATCGAATTTGTATTGCTAATCTAAAAATATTTTGGCGTTGATCAGGTGAGCAATGTTGTTGTGGGCGTAACCACCGACAAAAAGTGAAGCAGCAAGAGCCGTCGAGGGAATATCAGCAACCAGGAAGTTGTTTGAGTGTTTGGCATTTTGAGTAGGGATGAGAGGTGTGCATATCCAGCGAGAATGTATGTTTATCTACCTATCGATCGCAATTACTGCTTCCTATATCATTGGTGTTGTTTGTCTGTTCGTCATCGAGAATATTGACATATCTTCAAGTGTATGCTAATATGGATGGATGGATCGATCTCTGCCTGTTATCGTTGTGTGTGTGGGATGATGCTGTTCAGTATGCTGTGGTCTGATTGCACAGCGAAAATAACTGAAAGTTTGTTTTTATTCGATCCTTGAGAAATGAATATACAGTAAAGTATGCTCTTTTTACTCTTCCGTTTCCTTCCTTATTTTTACGTCGTGCTAGCAGTTTGAATAGGCGATTTGTCGTTGATGACAACGACGACGACTCCTCGACGGAGATTATCGAGTGAGAATAGTTAGTATATATTGCGTGAATTATTAATTTAAAGTCAGTACGATTTAAATAATATTTTGATGTGATGTTGTAGAAGAAAAAATAGTGATTTTTTAAAATACTGTGATGTTGATTTATAAAGAACACTTAGTTTTCACATAAATTTTAAAGCATTAATACTATTTTATATAAAATATATATATTTTTTGTATTGATCCATAAAATGTAGGAATTTTTTTAAAATCACAATTATTTAAAAATGGATAAATTAATTTCAGATATATTAAATTTTTATTTTTTTAATGATATTTTGGACCTTTTTGTTTTAATAGATGAGGAGTGTTACAATTTACAGAAACTATTTACCTGATTATTTTTGGTTTTCACGTCATAAAAATAAATAAATAAATAAAAAACTATTATACAATAAATAAATAAAAACACGTTGGACAAAACCCATGGGTACATTAATTATGCAATTGAATTCACCCGAAAATTGATATCGATCTTCTAACATTGAATGATTTCGTGTAGTGTACCTACAGAATTTGTAGTAGAAGAGGACTGGACATGTCGACAAACGTGACAGGGTGGCCCTAATGGATAAAATTTCATGGCCACGGGCACGGGCAGTGAGAAGCAAATACAGATCAACCAAATCGGTCAGGTCAGGGCAGGGCAGGGCAGAGGGCAGCATTAATTATAAAAAAAAAAAAAAATCCTTCCTTCATACAACTATGGAAGCTCCTCCTGGTGCAGAGTGTCCAGCTGGTTCAGATTGTGAAATCCAATCCAACCACCTTCTTACAACAGCCCTTTCTTCCTCCTCCTGCTTCCCTTTCCCTTTCCCTTTCCCATCTCTATTATTACACGTATACCTACTAACCCCTGTAATTTCCGACACGCTTCTCTCCTTATTTACGCTTCTGCCATTACCATTGCCGCTCACTATCATCTCCCCCGCCCTTAAGTACAGAATCTCCGCCGCCTGGGCGTCGCTCCACCGCCGCGGCCCCTCCGCCGCCGATATCACGATCCGGTGCTCCAGCCGGTCCGCCGCCGCCGCCCCCAGCAGCTGCCCGTCTTTCCGGGCGGCGCCGGTTTTTGAATTTGACCTCCCCTGATTTTCCAGGATTTGGGGATTAGGGTTCCCTGATTTGCGACGGGAGTGCCAGCTGTCGAGGGAAACCCTCCCAAGGAAATCGGGCCGACCCGGATTCGGATTTGAATTTGAATTTGGATTCGGATTCGATTTCTCGGCTATCATTTCCAGGGCGGCGCTGCCCCTCTCGCCGGCCGACGAGTGCCGGCCGGAAATCCTCTTACTACCACTATTCCGCGGCGGCGCCGATCCGGCGGCGCCGCAGTCTAAGAGGAGCACGTCTTCCGGGTCGACCCGACACCGGCAGAGCGGGCACGTGGAGTGAGCGTCGAGCCACGTGTCCACGCACTCGACGTGGAAAGCGTGTTTGCATTTCGGCAGCAGCCGGAGAACCTCGTCGGCGGCGAACTTATTCAGGCAGACGGCGCATTCGAGGCCGTCTTTTTTCTGCCCCGTCAGCGACGAGAATCTGAACATCGGCAGCGACTCGATCACCTTCCTGTCCACGCCGGAGTTCCTATTCGCCGTCGCCGTGTAATAATATCCCCTGCCGGCGGCATTGGGGTTGGGAACGGCGTAGGCCTCTCGTCTGCAATGCTTCATGTACATTAACAGTAAGAATGTTGCGGAGAAGACGGTGGTCAGAACCGCCACGATCACGGCTATGCCCGGCCGGAATTGGCCGATTCGCGGCGGCGGCGGCGCCGGAGAAGGTGCGGTGTGGGTGTGGTTGAGCAGAAAGAGGGAGAAGAAAAGTTCCATGGAAATGGAAATGAGAAAAAGGGCAAAGAGGGGAATAGTAATTTTCAGGTAGAGAGATTCTGCAGAAAAGGGAAAACAGGAGAGAAAAGGACAAAGGGATCTATGTATGTATATATGTAACGGAATGAATAATGGCTCTCTCTCTCTCTATCTCTCTCTATACTTCTGTTTCTCTCTCTAGTCTAGTCTCTGCAACTATTAGAGTCAAGAAGAAATGACATCTTGTGAACCCAGAAAATCCCTTGTCTTTCTTTCTCTTTCTCTCTCTCTCTCTAAAACACACTTCTCATATATTCATAGATTATGGTAGTATATAGAGATATATATATATGTATATGTATTGTATGTAATTGAATGACAGAATGGGGTTGCACATATTGAGGAGGTGTTTTATAGTAGACAGCATACATTTTAGTTTTTTCATGTGTGGTGGTAGTTTTCTAGGGCACTGTTTGGCGGTCCACTTTCGATTTTTTTTTATTTTTTTCTTCTTCTTCTGCCAACTCAATATTTTCATAATTAGATCCGAAAAAGCAAGTTATATTAAATAAATTACGTATGACAGATAAGATCGAAATATGTCAAAATTAATCCATCCTAATACTATTGGATCATCCTTACGGACAACAATATTGTCTTCCTTTTATTATTGTATATGAGTGCGTGAAGAGACATAAATGGGTGTTCTTATTTTCTATTTTAAATAAAAAATTAATTATCTTTTTTTTAAGTTAAAAATATCATTTTTATCAGTCTTACTTAAAAGTATTTATTTTTTATTATAATATAAATAATTACAAATTAATAATAAACTATTCTTTAATTGTTTTTTTACGTAATTGACAAATACAATTAATTTATACATTAAATATAAAGACAAATATATCAAAAATATTTTACATATTTTCATTAACGAATTAAATAATACTATTATTTTTTGAATTTGGTACAAAAACTAAATGACCTAAAATTGAATGGATACAAATGAAATATAACTATTTAATATATTCTTAAAAATATATATATACAATTTTCTCTTAAAAAATATCAAAAATAAAATATTATTTAAATTAATATTATGTTTCAAATCAAAAGTAAACACTTTGCTTTTGTACAAAATGTATTTATATTCCTTCCGTCCTCAGCCAATGTAGCTATTTGTTTTTTTTCTTTTTTTTTTAATAGTAAATTAGAATATAATAGTATTTAATTAGTTCATAAGAGTATGTTTACACTTAAATTACAAATAAAATGAATATATTTATAAAACTTAAGTTATTTTGATATTTAAATATAATTATTTTACTATAAATATAAATTAATAATTTTGAATAGAACAAATAAAAATAATAAAAGAACATATTCGCTATGTTTACTAAGCATTTTTCAAACCAACGATTTCTCATAAATATTATAAAAAAATATAAATATAAACACATTAATATAATATACATATATTATTCATTGATAAAAGGCAATCAGTCAATACAATATTCCGTCCGTCCCAATACAATAGTCCTATTTATCATTTTTATCCATCCCAAAACAATAGTCTTATTTCCATAAATAACTATATCACTATAAAACTACATTTACTTTTTCATTATTATTACATAATTGCCACTACTTTTTCACTAATACACTTACAATGACAGAAAAGTTTTTTACCCGTATTTTTTATCCACTACCAATATAATATCAATATTCTTTAAATCTCGTATCAACGTACGAGGGATAGACTAGAGTGCTCTTATTTAGCACATAAAATATAGTTTAATAATATTGTATAGATTGTTAATATGTATTGATTGTTTTACTATATATATTGTGTTAATATAATTTGTGTCGAGAGATAAATCATAGTATGTGTCATGTATTGTAAATTTATGTATTGTATCTACATTATGATAACATATACTCCCATGTAATATGGGTGTATTACTGTGGACACGGGAATTTAGATAAAGTATAATTAGTAAGTAATTAAAAAGTATATTAGTAAAAATAATTATTATTTAGTAAAAATAATTATAGATTAAGATTAAGATAAGTAAATAGTTTAATTAAAATTAAAAAATTAAAAAATTTAAAATTTAAAATGCATAATTATATTTCCAAAAATAGAAATGACAAGTTACGTGGGACGGACGAAAATAGAAAATAGGGACAAATTATGTGGGACAGAATATATCGTATATATATATTGTATTGTTGATTTATAACTATTTTTATAATATATATATATATGATGTGTTGTATTGTATTGACTATAATAAGTCAATATAGTAACATCACATTGTAAGAAGATTAGAATAATCTTGAATTGTAAGGACATAGGGTTTGTTCTTACGATTATTTTAAACTGAAATCAATTCTATTTATTCTTTATAGTTTATAAAATATCATATCAAAATATTATTTAAATAAAAATTCAAATCAAATACTCCCTCCTTTTATAATTAGATATTCATTTGCTTTTTGCACGTAGTTTTAAAAATATTATTATTATATTGGAACGTAGTAGAAATAAAGTAGAAATGATTAAAATAACCTTATTAGATATGTGTGATATAAAGGTAATAGCATTTGTGTAATATATTGTAAGTTGTAAGGGTATTTGTAATATTAGGTAGATAATACAGTTACTAAAAAAAGAAATGAATATTTTGTTATGGTACGGAAGAAGTACAAAATTTCAAACCACGATCAAACAGATATTATAACATGAGGTTCGTCTACATTGTGTTTTTCCAGAATAATTTTTGATAAATATTATAAAAATACAAAATTTATACATATATATTAATACAATATAATACTCCCTCTGTCCACAAACTAATGTCCTACTTTTTTATTTGGGACATTCAACAACTATTGTCCTATTTCTTTTTTTTTAAACACAAATTTTACGTTTTTACCCTTCATTCATTTATTACTTTTAATCTCTACCATACAATTAAAGGCAAATTTGTCAATTCATAACAAAAAGACAATCACCTAAAAAACCGTGCAAATATACTTAGAACAATAGAAATTGGACGAAGGGAGTATATATATATATATATTCATGGACGTTGATAAGATCCATCCATTTAGAAGCACCTTAGGATGGCATAGCCTTCTACTTATACTTATAAGGGCGATAAAGGCGAGGTTCAAACGAGGAAAGGCTTACGGTGGATATCTAGGCACCCAGAGACGAGGAAGGGCGTAGTAATCGACGAAATGCTTCGGGGAGTTGAAAATAAGCATAGATCCGGAGATTCCCGAATATATATATATATATATACTCTGTCATCTTAAAAACCAATTTTTCTATAAGAAATAGTCTGATAGTGCAGAATAAACTCGTAACCATAAGATTATATATAGGTTGAAACATCTATAAAATTACCCCGATCACTTGGGATAGATTTTATTGACAATTAGACCTATTATTATACATACTCCTAGTTGGTTAGGAAAATTTAAAATAATGCCAAACCAAAAATAAAAAAAAAAAAAGATTCGGACAAGATGAAAAGATAATTGAGGTATAGTCCACATGAATTAAACAGGTCCCAAAACGAAGGCCCCAATGATTGTGCATGGTGTATGATATATCTATATCCATATATGCATGTCGACATATAGATGTGTCACATTATTATTTAAAATTAATTGCCCACCAAACATATCCCTACAAATTATGGAATATGGAGAGATGTTTCTTGTTTGGTTGTGTATTTATTCAAATAATCAATTTTGTAATTAAAAACGATTTATCAGTATCATATTCATTATTTTAATATATATTACTGTTGTCGAATTATATTTTATACGTGTACTGTAAATTTATATTTAATATATTGATTGATATATAATTGTACCATATCAGTATAATATTATTGATTATTTTTAATAAAAACAATTACTCATTTAGTATAAATGATTGTTTGATGTACTCTCTCCGTCCTCCTAATACAATAGTCTTGTTTACCATTTTTATCCGTCCAAAAGAATAGTTTCATTTCCATAAATAATTGTATCACTATAAAAATATCCTTACTATTTTATTATTATTACTCAGTTGCCACTATTTTTTAAATTAATATAGCAAAAAAGTCTTTTACCCGTACTTTTTACTCACTACCAATATAATATCAATATTTCTTACATCTCGTGCAAAATATAATCCAGAGTATAATTTTGGGGCGGAAGGAATATTATACTTACGATATACACACATAATGCCGATTAGACTAATCAATACTAATTATTTTGAGAAAATATCTATTATATTATTTTATATAACATTTTAAATAAAAATTAATATAATATTTTTTTTTTTATGATGATATAGAGAAACGATTGTATGTATGCATTGAAAATAACAACACACACAACGACGTAACTACGTATCCACCAATACATTAATTGTTTGTTACAATGCATCAATCAACACACACTATTCATTCCCAATCAACTTGGCATGCCAAATATTTTTTGGGTAAAGTAAAATACATATATATATATATATATATAAATATATTTGGATTTGTTTGGTTGTAAATTCTGGGATTGAGTTTTGAATTTAATTGAATTAAAATGATTATTTGATATGATATATATATAGTGTTTTTAATGTAAAAATAATTTTTAGTTTAATATTAAAATAAAAAAAAAACATGTGTTTTATTTGAAGGATAAATTTTTTATAAACAGTAAAATTTGAATTTAAAACCTACAAACAAGCACCGCCTTTATATTTTAATGTTAAAATAATAAATTAAATATTTATTTTTTTTATAAAATATAAAATAAATATATGAATAATTTATTATTATTTTTTAAATTGCAAAACTTAAAAATCCTTACTTAAACAGAAAGTTTGACTATAAGATTAGTATTCCTATAAAAAAATGTCACGAAGTTACCAAAATAGAATAAAAGAAGTGCAATACCTAGAGGATTAGGCTCTATAAATAGACAGAAATTTTAGAATTTTAATTTTTTGTTAAAATAAAAAAATATATATAGTATTTTATATAATATATATATTTTTAAAAAAACAACTACTTATAAAAAGTGCATTTTAAAAAATATATATATATATATGCATAAACAGAACCAAAGTTTTTTTTTTTTTTTTCTTTCATTTAATATTGTTTTAACTCCTTGTGGTTGTGGGCATAGGTTCCCGGGTCCTGATTGGATTTAGATCGACCACTCCTATAAAAGAATGGGTCGGGTCTAACCCGACCAAGCACGATCCAGATGGACCCGGATCCGACATCGCGAAAGTAGATTTGGAGCCGAAGCCGAAAGTTGAAAGAAATAGTCCCTGCTGCCGTAGGTCAAAATTGATCCATTCACCGTCGAAGTGATCTATTAGATCTGTAAAACTTCAAATTTGAATCAGATTAGGGATTCAGCTTCAGATTGCACACGAGAATGAGGAATTTGGAGACACTGTCAATCGTTGTAGTGCTGGTCCTGTTGCTGGGGTCGAATTTCGGCGGTGCCGTAGCAAAGCCTAAATCCGCATCTGATTTCGTGAAGAAGACTGTTTCTTCTCATACCATCGCGATTTTCTCCAAATCCTACTGCCCGTAAATCGATTCTCGCTTGATCTCATTTCTGGTTTTTGTTGTGGATTATTTGATTTGTGCATCCCATAATTTATTTTTATATGAGATTCGATAAACTGTTGGAATTTTGGAGCTCTATGGTTTTGCGATTTTGTGCAGAATCAAGCATAAATTGGAAGAATCAGCGTTTAAATCCCGAACATTAGCAGTTAATGATGCATAGATCTTGCTGTAAACAAATCAATGTTCTAATGAGAGCTTGGGATTGATTTCAGTTCACAGAGTCAATGAAATTAGGTTTTTACGAATTGAAGATCTTATAGTAATTCTTTTTCTGTGAAATGCAATAAACTTGATTTTACTGGATTGATTTCTTTGCGTTTCGAATAGATTTGCTCTGTGCTCTTGGGAAGTTCAATTACCACCATTGTGATGGATTTTGTTTTAGTTCATGTTCTTGAAGCATTTTACTTTTGTGCATTTCAAATTTACTGAAATGTTGTGTAATGATTAGTTTAAAACTGGTTTGAACGGTCTAATGCTTGATATCGTCGATTTCAAATGCCTTAAATGGTGATTTGGTTACTGGAAACTATGATTTTGATTAAGCATTTTATGCTGAATCTCAAGTGGTTCGACGATGATATGAATAATTCCAGAGTTTTGTTGCTAATTTTTTTTTTGTCCGAAGCGGTTTACTAGTATTATCTTTACATCCGAGCCGATATAGCCCTTCCTATTCAAATTAAAATCCTTACAACCATATCATAATTTTTTCACTCTGTACTTTTATTCGAATCTGATGCAGATACTGCAGAAGGGCCAAAGCTGTCTTCAAGGAATTGAACCAGGAGCCATTCGTCGTTGAACTTGACGAGAGAGGTTTGTATTTCATTCATCTCCTTGTATGATATACGGCACGTTCTTAGCATGAGCAGTGTCGGTATTTGGGATTATAGTACTTTCAATAACACCCTTTCTTTTAGTTGAATTAATTTGGAAAGAATTCTTTACTTGGTGATTTTGCATTTTCGCTTGCTTATTTACACTAATGTCTGGATAATATGATGTGGTTTGGTTGCCTTCTCAGTTGGACGAAAGTAAACTTTTTGCAAAATAAAAAGAAAAATCTATGATCACAAGAACTTGTGTACAAGATGTGTTTTTTTTTTTTTTTTTTTTTTTCTTTTTTTTAAGGTTTGAATCTGGATTTGAAAATTAGTAAAAATCTGAATTGAAATAGCTTTTGAGCTAATATAAAATTGCAAATAGATATTTAATGTGATATTTTGAATGAAGCCGATTATTTGTATAATATATCAAATGAAAAATAGGTATATGATCTGATTGTTATTCTTGTGGTATTTTGTATTTCTTTCATGTTTACAGATGATGGCAGAGATATTCAGGATGCTTTGATCGAGCTTGTCGGGAGGCGAACAGTACCTCAGGTTTTTATAAACGGAAAGCATCTCGGAGGCTCTGATGGTACGTATTTGTTTACATAGACATATTTGAAATTTTTGACACTTTTAATCGACAACAATTTTTTCAAAAAAAAAAAAAAAATCAAATCAAATATACATTTTTCCCCTTCTCACGAAACGTCAAATTAAATATTCAATTTTACCGCTTAAGCACAAATGAATTTTTCGATTTGCATTGCAGACACTGTCGACGCATACGAAAATGGAGAACTGGCGAAGCTTCTAGGCATCGAGAGTGAAGGCGACGAGGAACTTTAAGGTGCTTGCAAATTGATTTCTACGGCACACAGTTACCCGGTAAGCAGTAAACATTCGTAACATTTTATTCGATTCGATTCGAGGCAGTACAAAACAATGTCAGGGTTATTACCCCTTTTCTAAAATGGCTCACTTCTAGTGCCTTCAATTTTAAGGATGTCTGATCGATTGTATTTACACTTTTACATATATTCATATTGAAAGTTTTGGGTACCATGCTTTTCAATATTTTTGTTCAATTTTGGATAGTGAAAAGTTGGGATATTTTGTTACAAGAACTTTGTATTTGATGTACTACTTATAATTTTTCTAAAAGAATACTATTATTTTATAATATTATACAAGTCATTTCGTATTAATACTAAAAAAATAATTAATTTATACATAAATTAAAATAGTATATTATAAATTTACGTGTAAATACAAATGACAATACATTTTTTTAATTTATTACATTTTTTATCGTCTTTATGTATTTTTTTTAATACTAAAAAGAAAATTAAAAATTATTGAAAGTACTCTTACATATTATTATTATTATTATTATTTATCAATGAGCTACTTCAATAGAGTATTCATTGCCCTGTAGATATTTTTTGGCCCACCCAAAAAGAGTTTGGAGGTGTTTTTTTAGTTTGAAGAAGCTGGGAAGTTTTATATTTTGTAAAAAGAAAAAAATAATTATATATTTTATTTTAATTTTTTTTAAAAAAAATGAAGCTCAAATAATAAATCGTGTTTATAGTTTTGGAGTTTTTGTTTATAGTTATGAGAATAGTAAAAATATTATTCTGTATGTCCCATTGAAAAGTTATTATTTTTTATTTTGCTCCGTCCCGAAACAAGGTTATCATTTCCTAATTTACTAATTGTACTACCTATCTAACATAATAAATATCATTTTCAACTTACAATATATTACACAAATGTCATTATTTTTATATTATACCATACTAATAGGAGTATTTTTATTTTTTTTACTATAATCTAATATAATAATAATATTAAAAAATTTACGTGCAAAAAACAAATACCATCCTTCAAATGGGACAGGGAGAGTATATATTTTTTGTATTTCTATTATTATGTATATCTTGTAATAGTTTTTTTAGAATTGTATAAAAATAAAATACTAAATAGTGACACTTAAAAAACAGTTAATATTATAAAAAATAAAATGATGTTATATTTATCCTCTAAAATTATTCTTTATTAAAACTAGAATTGACTTTTTGTTTTCGGACTCTATTTTATTTTCTTTTATCTATTTTTAAAATTTATTCATGTAGTCAACAAATTTTATAAAAAATATATTATTTTTTAAATGAAATGTCATGTTAAATTATTATTTAAATTAAAAAAATAATAATAAAAAAAAAAACAACAAACCTCATACACAATACTTATTTTTGTTGGAAAAGATTAATTTAAAATATTTTGAATTGCCAAAGTAAATTGAAAGTTTTATTTATTGCCAAAAAAACAAATACGCCCTAATTTTTTTATATTACAAATTTGCAAATGGTTGGAGAAGCTAATTATTGTAGAGTAGGGTAGTGACATATTATTATTTAAATTATTAGCTATTCATCAATTAATAAATATTGACATATATTGAATGATAATTGAGTGTGTGTGTTTAATATTTTATTATTTTACATGTTTTTATTATGATTATGAATTTATATATGAAATAATAATTTATATATTTTTATTGATTTTTATTTTCAGATGTAGACATTATATTTTCTTTTGTAGAGAATTGTGTCTTTTAAACATTAAAATAAAGTGAACACATTCTTTGTGTTATATTCCTTTTTAGAGTTTATTATTATTATTATTATTATTATTATTATTATTATGTAGTTCACACTAATATTTATATAAAAAAAAATACGAGTTTATCTCAACATCCCAATTATTTATTTATTATTTTTTAAAAAATCATTTATTTTATTTTAATTGTTTTGTTCCAATAATGGTATAATTAATCCCAATAATTACCAAATACATACACACTAAGTAGACTAGGGTACAATTCTGGATCAATTGCTTTTTTTTTTTTCCCCCCTACACATTAAATAGCCTAAACTTTCGTAATTTAAATAAAAGCTTAATAATATGATTTCGACAAAAAAAAAAATAAATAAATAAATAAAAAAAAGACAATTAAACAGTACAAAATTAAAAACAAAAAAAAAATAAAAATCATCAAACAATATTGGTCAACAATTTCAATTTATTGTTAAAAAAAATTAAGGCTTCGCCTAATAATGTTTTTAAATTACTTTTGATATTATTTATTAATAATATATGTTTTTAAAAATAATAATTACAAATACTAATTTATTAATTAAAACATTAAATCAAAATTTCATTTCTATATAAAAGATCACCCAATACTTAATATTTATATTACTTTAAATGTCTATTTTTTATTTATATTTTACTATTTTCAAAACACCTTAAAACATAGCATAAAGTTTCAATTTACTTATATTTACAATTTGTTTTTTTTACTCCATTTCTAATTCAAATTTATATTAATCTTTTCTTCTGTTATCTAAATTTATTATACTTTTTTTAGTAAAAAAAAATATTTCATTGTCCAATCACATTTATCTTTGTATTTAACATTAAAAATATTCTTATATTTGTATAATATTTTGTACAAATGCACTTCTATTAGTATTATAAGATACAAATAGAAGTATTTTTTTAAATTTTTCTTAATTTGTACTACGTTTTGTTATAATAATTAATATTCAAATATCAACACTTGAAAAGTAGATAAGATTTTAGAACCGGACGAAGGTAGTACTATTTTATTCTATTTTTTTTTTTATTATTATAAGAAAAAAATTTCTATTTGTACTCACTTTTATAAAAATTTATATCTGATCAAAAAAAAAAATTTGATGACAGAAGATGATTATTCACCAAATGTTTCATTAATATCTATTTTTTTATTAAAATATAATATAAAAATATATGTTTTTTTCTTAAAAAAAAATAAAAAAATCATATCAATTATTTATTGTCTATTCAATTTGACTATTTTCAAACCAATCAAAGTTTCAAAATACATTGCAAGAGACAATAATAATATACTCTATAGTTTTAAAAAATATAAGTATTGAATAATAAAAAAAATAAATATTGTAAAATTATCTAGTAAATTACACAATATATAATTTTTATTTATTTATTTTTTTTCAAACACAAATCAAGATAGTTTGTAAGTCGTACGTGTGTGTATACGTATAAAAATACCAACTTAAATTTTTCCTCTTCCTACAAACCCTAATATATATATATTTATAGGGTTTAGCTTTCTTCTCATCATTATTAGGGGCCGTATTAGGGTTAAATTATAACCCCCTAAATCGGAGCTCAGGACCACCTTCCATGGCGGCTGCGCCGCCTCTTCCGCCGCCGCCCCTATTTTCCCCATTTTTCTCGTGCCATTGCACAAACGCCGCCGGCGGCCGGAGGACTCTCTACTCTCAGCGACGACGACCGGAGCTCCGACAGCTCTCTCTTCAATTTCCGATTCTCTTCCGTCAACCTGTCGCAATTCTTCCTCAGGTACTCGCACTCCACCTCTATCTGCTTCAATTTCGTCCTGTATTTATTAATTTCATCAGTTATTACAAAATTACCGTTTCGTTTTCTTACAATCCAAAAACCTCTGAATCAACGAACATGTTCGGACATTAAATTTCACCTCGCTCTTCGGTTTTGAAACCAAACTTCCACTTGTCTCGGTTTCAGATCCAGCTTCTCTGCAAGCGACTGTTTCTGAGCCTGTCCGAAATTTCCCCCAAATTTTCGTACCTCAATTAGATCGAAAACTCAAACAATTTGAACCGTAGTTTGAATTTGGGGAACAAATTAGGGCTTTTTCAATTTCAATTGAAACCGTACACATACGAGTATATATATACGTATGTATGTGTTATTACACTATATACGACGTCGTACCGTATTGAGTGTAGTGTGGCGTCTGAAGCTGTCTTCTAATAAGGTTGTCTGATCTCTTGTAAGCCTTAGTTTCTTTCTGCTGCAACCATCAATGGAAGAATTGGTATCTTCTTCGTCTTTGCTCGATCTCGTCGTCGTGCTCGATTCGAGGAACAACACGCGCTTGTCGTTGATGATCTTCCTCGGATTAATGTCCGATTTGGACATGGAGGCCGGGCCGAGCCCGAGCCCGAGACACACATCGTGATCATGATTCTGATCATCCATATATGTCTGTCTGCTAATTATAAGATTGATCAGTTCCTTTTCTTTTAAGAGTTGAAGATATATGTCTGTATGTATATGTATTATATATATATATAATTAATTTCTATACTGTTATGTGTAAGTGGAATTAATTGCCATTTTCAATTAATTCTGTATTTATTGCAGTGAATGTGAATGAGTGATTTTTATTATTATTATTATTATTATTAGAAAAATGTCAATTTGAAAATTTTTGGTAACAATAATTTAGAATTATTTTATTTCATTTTGAGAAGATAGCATAAAATGTGTGAGGTTTGATAATTTTGTTTAAAATTCAGCATTGTGTTGAACATGTGATGTGCTAATTAAGAAATATCATACGATATTACTATTGACAATATATCATTTATATTAATAAAAATAATTGATTTTAATACATAATATATTTTTTTAAATGCAACACATACTGTATTTATGAACATACAATACATATATTTCTTACAAACATCACATATTTTGTGTAGTAAAAATATATATTGTTTTTATATTTTGTGTTCTAATTTTTTTAAATAAGCACCGTAACTCTTCCTCTATATATATATACATAACCACTCGCAAATGAAATATAAATAAACAATATGAGATATGGTATGCGTAGTATAGATTACTATTATGTTTTATAAATAATAGTAAATAATATTAATAAAAAAATTACATAAGGAACAAACTCGGAAAAAATCTAGAAAACCCTAATCTATGCACAATGAATAATTTTGACCGAGTGTATATGTTTGATTATTGCTAATTTTGATCATAGATGATTGTAATAATTGAACCTTGCTACAAGATTGAAATTATTTGTATATATATATATAGTATATATTATTAGCTTACCTATACTAATAAAAAATAATTAAATCAACAATCTTCTTCCTATATCTGTATTTATTTAAAATATAAAAAAAATTAATTAATTAAAAGATCAAATGGCTATGCCGATTAATTACTCCACAAGAAATATCTTTTGATGACATTTCCGTAGACATAATTTTAATTATAATAATTAAAATTAAAAATAAATTTGACTCCTAGGAGGAAACCAAAAAATAAAAAATAAAAAGACCCGTGGGGGTCCCGATGCCAATCCTTCGAATTCTTGAGCGGTTCTGGGAGTCAAACTCCAGATGAATCCACACCGTTCAAAGTTTAGAACCCATTCAATCAACGGCGACGATTCGTTGTCCTCATGCATGCATAAATGCCCGCTCCCATTAATATCTGTCATTACAGAAGATAGTTAAGACAATTTTTGACAGATTTGTCGCCACAAATTGGCATTTAATCAAAGTAATAATAATAATAATAATAATAATAATAATAATAAGAAGAATAATATTATTATTATTATTATTATTATTATTTTTTATTATGTCTGAATTTGCGTCTGAACCAGCATTTGATGTACTGTCTACTCTCTGCATAAATAAATACTTACCATTGGCGTTTTCATCTTAAATATTTAATTGATTTATATAATGATTTTTTTTATTTTAAAAAAAATATATATATATATATATAAGATATAAGTTATAACTTTATGAGTCAAAAAAATTGAATGGGCATCAATTTGTGTTATTACATACATTTCTCAAGTCGTAACTTCTCTGTCTGATATTAAATATCTATGTTTCTGATCTGACAGCAAACTATGTTTAATTTGTTGGGGGAAATTTCACTAATTAATTTATTTATGGGAATATTAAAAGCTTCTGGAAATTTGTCGTTTTATTTTAGGGTTTACATCATCAAATTGGGAAGAAATATTTAATTATGTATCATATGTATGTCTAATTATTGGTTATATATATTGGGTTTGTTTAGTTAATATTCGAATTTTAATTTACATGATATTTTTAACGTGATATTTGTGAAATAAAACTCTTATTTATATATATATATATTTATATTTATAGCCGTGGAGATAGAATAGTAAAAAGGTTAGTTTAAAATGCAAACTAAATTAACAAACTTCATAGTTTCATTTAAATATTATTTTACTATAATATTTTATAGAAAAAAATTATATATTTTTTGTTCATGGTAAGCTTTCTAAATCAAAAGGATTCTTTGGAATTTTGTAATAAATTAAGAAATAATAGTATTTTATGTAAGAACAAGAAGAAATAATACTCCCTTCGTCCAAGCAAGAAGTATACTTTTATTTTTGACGTGGAGTTTAAGAAATAATAATATTTTAATTATAATACGTAGGTAAGGATAGTGTAATGATATTTTTGCCCTTACTTTTTGGTATAAAAGTAACGATGTGTTATAAAATAAGGGTATTTGTGGAAAAAAGTTGGGTATTTAATAAAATAATTACTTTGTAATTGAGAGTATTATTTTATTAGTTAATAGAAGTGTGTATGAGTTTTTGATCTTTTTGTCATTTGATTTTACGCATAACATATTGTAATTTAAGTAAACGTTAAGAATATTTGGTATTAGTATATGATTACCTTTTTTTTAAGTAAGAAAGAGATACTTATATGACAGACAAAAGTGATAAAAAAAATACTTTGAATTGAAACAAATTGAATATTTATAGATACATAGTGTAATAAAGTAATGTGATACATATTTTATCCTTGACAATAAGTAAAAATAATATGAAACTAAAAAAGCATGAGTATTTTGATATTTAATTGATAATTATCTTAAAAAATAAATAAATAATTGATTTGGACATACTAAAATGATAAAATAGAAAATTTACTCATAGATGATGGGAGTATTTTTTATTGAAAGTTATTATATGTAAATATTTCTTTTTTTAAAAAAAAAACACACAAAAATATTAAAGCACTATTTCATTACATACATTATATAGTGTGTTTTGGATTATATTTAGCCGGGTTTTATTTATTTATTTATTTATTAATGCTGAAATCTCATGATAATTATATAACTCTTAAATTTCATGAAAAAAAACAAAAGGTAGTTATATAGTTAAAATTCGATCATATATACAAATATTACATAATAAAAGTGATAATAAAATATATATATATATATATATATATGAAAATTGTACTATTTAAAGATATATATATATTTATATTATTGAAATCGTGAGGAGAAGGGCGTGAACAGTTGGTATCTAATTTTACTGTGAGAGAATTAAATTAAGGAATTATAATGGTCAATAATTTGTGAACTTATTGATGATAATTAATTAATTGGCGATATTAGAGGTTCCCTACTATTGTGTTGAGGGAATTTGTAACCACAAAATTCATATATAAAAATATTTTCTAAATATCCAACAAACCTAAACAATAAAATGATTATAAAAAAAAAAAAAAAAAGAAATTAATAGGCATATTTATTTATTATTGGATTTGTTTGTGCAATGGATTTTTTTTTGACAAATTTATCGATTAATATGGTAAAAGAATACAATACATACATACATATATTTACACATAAAATATATTGTCCATTAAAAAATTCACTAATTTAAAATCAAATATTATTTTGTATATTATTTACATTTTTATTATTTAAATGTTCATATTTTTTTATTTGTCATTTTTTCAAATGAAATAGTTGTTGAATTTAAGTGATTTTTTAATCATTTTTTTTTAAAAATAATAGTTTAAATTTGATAGTTTGTGAGAGAAATAACTTATTGTAATGAAAAAAGATATATATATATATTTACCAGCTTTGTTTTTATTTGAATTTTAATATTTAAAAATGAAAATAATAGTTTGAAACAATTTTGAATTATTATTATAGTTATAATTTTTTAAAAAAAAATTGAAAAAAATGTATTATATATAATTTTCAATATCTATAAATTGTACTGCCCTATTACAACATTTATAAAAGACAAAATAGATGCATGATATGGGACGACATTTTCAGCGTATTCATTGAGTGAGATAAGTTGACATTATTAGTGATTTTTATTTTTATTTATTTAAAAATAGTAATTTGAAGGTAAAATTTTGTTAGACAAGGCAGTATATTTTCAATAAAAATAAAAAATAGTCCCGCCTCAGGTCACCTGCTTAGTGTGTCTTTTTCGTCGCATTTGATTTGCATTTTTTGCTTAATTGATTTGAATTTTTATTTAAATAATATTTTATAAAAAAAATTGTGTTTTTTTCTTAAAAAATAACTCAAATATTTATAAAATATTAGTATAAATTAAATAGCATTAAAATTTAAAAATATATATATACCTTTAAACTTAGCATAAATTTCGAGGCTACAGACCTTCAAATTTTCATTTTACTTAAAATATAGATATATGTTTATTTATTTATACATATATGCATTGATGGATTTCACTGTATTTGTTCGTTAGCAGATAGGCTGATCTCTTTGACTGAAATGGTACGCAACAACTGAATATACTTAATTAATTTAATTAGACAAAACTTTATTTTATTTATTTCATTTTCTTAGATAACATTGCAAAATTGATCTAATATAGTATGTATATTTTTATATATAATATTTAGCCTAATTAAGAAAAATGAATATTTTATTAAAAAATAAAAAAATAATAATAAAAAATACTTTGGGATATTTTTTAAAAAATTAATTAGAAATTAAAAAGAATGAAGATAGAATATAATAAATTGGGTGATATTTATTATAAATAAATATTGAACGAAGAATAATAATTAAATATTATTTTTTTTTTTTACTTTTCTAAATATAATAATATGATAAATTTAAGGGCAACTTCCACATATCTCTTTAATTCTAAGTTCATATTCTTATTTACTCCCTATAGATTAATTTTATCTTCTTTACTCTCTATTTTTACAAAAAAATATTTTTTACTCTCTATTCATGTAAAAACTCAATAGTACCCTCATTTTATTTTCTTTATCATTTTTATTCTTTTTTTCAACTACACTGTAATTTTTATAATTTATTTCTATTTTTTTATTAATTTAAATATAAAATAAAAGATTACAACAATAAAAATAATAATTGACAAGAAATAATAATAAAATATATATAATACAAAAGTACTCATAACTCTTACATTATAATTA